CAAAAGGAAGAATTTGGATGTAATTAAAAAACACTGAATGGACCGCTATGATCTTTGATTATGATATTATGATTCTCTATCATAATATCATTATCGCTTTATCATAATTGCTCTATTCTGTAAGACGCTCCTTGCTGCTCTCAAATTCGCAATGAAAACAGATCTATGATACGCATAGCCAGCCACATTGAAGAACACTGCACACCAGGCCATTTTGAAGTTGAGCAAAGTCATGGTTTATTTAAGTTGAGCACCAAGACATTTTCTTCTAGAAATCTGTGCTGTCAAAGGGCAATGTTTTTGATCGTGTACTTAAACTCTTTGATGGATTCAAGATGTTTACGGTCGCTCACTGGACGATTGGAAGGAGTTGTTAAAGGATATTCGATAACAGATTAAGTGTTGTCTTGTCGATCTACCTAATTAATAGGTTTGTTTCATGCTGTAACCTTGGAACTCTCTCAACCACATTACTCATACTGATTTTTCAAAACTTTTGCTTATCCAATCAAATAATTAAAACAGATTATCTGCTGAAACAGGTTTGCGATGTGTCTTGAGTCGCACAAACCCGCGCGTTGATTTGATTGTAGCAGAGATGCATGCAGGAGCTTCCTTTTCATTAATTGACACTATTGAATAAATGTTTATTAAAATACACACTAACTGCTGATAAAAATCTGCAGACATTCGTTCTTGCGTTCTCTGTTGCGATTAATATATGAAAGTATCAGCTAGAGCATATAGAAAATCTGTGCGTTCTATAGGACCTAGGTAGCCGTATAAATGTGGGGGAAATGACACGTTTACTGTATCACGGAAAGGGGTCACGTGCGGAAAATGTTTGGGAACCACTGGTGAAACGACTACTACAAAAGGTAGAGGCTAACATGCATAGATGCTTTTAGATCAAATAGAGAATATCTTAATTCTGTTATCCAAGCTTACCCCAGACAACTGAATGAAAAGTTTATTATTTATATTATCGTCATTTCCCTACTTATATTTGGAAGCGTCTGTTAGTACGAAATGTGTATCTATAGGAGACGTCTCGTGTGATCGGTTCACGGGACAAAAACGGGTTGCAGTGAAACTGTTTGCAGTTAAATTAAACTTGGGAAACAAATGCACTACCTAGCGTCAGCAAAACTACTAAAATAGGAAAAGCACAGCCGACTAAATCCTTTGTTGGTAATTTTTCCATATTGCACCAATCTAGCTTCCTACTCTGCTAGAAGATGTCTATCGCTGGCGCTGTCCTCCAAAGGAAGGTAAATAGTTGTCATGCTTGGTGGCTTCCTCCATTAAATGAACTTGATTGTCTCTCAACCGAACATGGCTGTTCGCTATTAACTTGGTTGCTCTTCTTAACACCATCTGAATTTGTTGCTCTTCTTCACTAAACTGAACTTGGTTGTAACGCTGTGTCGGATGATAGCTATGTACTCCGGTTAGCTTTACAGCTTCCTGCATGATGGTGAGGAATATCGTCAATACTCTCCTAACGCCATGGAATCTTTGCGGTTTCCACAAAAATATTCCTAGGGCAGTAATTTACTTTATTTACTAATCCTTATAATTATATTTTCAAGCGGCACTTAGAGCGAATTAATTCGTTTCATTTCTAGGCAGGCCCATTTCATGCATTAGCGGGCCCACAAACTTTCGTTGCAACAGTATGTTAATTTTCCCTTGATTTTTATGGTTAAAGCCATAATCTGCTTTTGTTACTGAATGTCTCTCAACCATCCTAAACCTATGACTTTTCACCAAGTTATGTTAAGTTATATATCTATTATCCTCGCTTTGTTCACAACTGCATGAATAGTTGAATGGCTATCGCAATTTCAATTCAAATAATCATAATAATTGTAACGAAATTGAATTGAATCTCGACCGATCCGAGCCTGCTGCGTACCCTTACCCATGTGTGCAACCTGTTGACTAGCCTACTTCGTAATCGAAAATAACCAAGAGAGTTCGTTGCCTTGCAAAATATGAAGGCACAGTTGAATTATCGGTGGGCGAACGTTGGCCGGCGATAATCAGGTCACAAATTTTTAATCTTATTTATGCGTGCCTGGGCACGCAAGTGGCAATCGATGCGACGACTCATCGACATGACGGTAGAGCGCGGCACATTCCTCACACAACTTAGCAACTGGCTTATTATGCATTGAAACAGAAACCAGCTAGAATAACTCTCTGAGTTATTAACATATTTTGTCAATAATAAATTCGAAAATTGAATTAAATACAAAATCTAAAATACTCATGGGAAGTCATTGTGTTGAAAATGAACTTATTACCTTTATAACGAATGATGTTCAGAATAAATCAATATGGTATTGCATTTCTCAGTCGAATATTCGGTCTCCTGTTGTTTGTTCTGTTAAGCTCTATGATGATCATTTACTTATGTTCCACGTCGACGTCAGTATGCGACACTGCGCAGTTTATTTTTCCTATAATTCTATCGTTTTAATCAATGCGCTTCTGGGTATAAGTGGACCCTGGCTAACAAAAAAAAATTACCTTACTCTTTAAAGAGAAGAGCTTCAGAGCATCAGAGACTTTGTCCAGCTGGTCATGCCTTGAGCTCGTCAGCCCTTGAGGTGGCGGACAAACAACACAAATCGATTACTGTCTTAGCGAACACTGCTTGCTGTTTCTTAGAAGGTACTTCCCGAAACATTCAAAGTGAACCGTCTGGTTGAGAAAAAAGCGTGTTATCTATTTGATGGTACTTTATGTCACTCAAATAGTATTGCAGTCTCGTTGAAAGAATACATTGCTGCACTAAGCATTGACTCGCCGTCTCTCAGAGAGTATTGATCATTGTTTTAATTTGAGCGTATAGCATGCTGTCTATTACATAGAAAATACTTTCTCTCAGAAGGTAGTGCGGTCTCTTTAAACATATAGCTTACTGTATTCTGTCTCTCACATGGTACGATCTCTGCTGTTTGTCCAGCGTTAAACATATGTTTTGGGGTTTACAATAAGGAATGTCGCCTCATTGAAGTAACAGATGAAACTGCAAGAAGTGGGGGAACGTATATAGTGTAGGTAGTGCTCACGTGGGAACAGCAACACTACACAGCGATAGCAACTTTTGTGGAAAATGATAATCTATAGTCTTATTCTACGAGCTGATGAAGAGCGTGACACAATGCGAAAATAGTTGGTGGTGCAATAGCTAGTCCTCAAGCTACAAAACTCATAATTACTTTTTAGTCCATCGTGCAATAAGATCATCCACACACGATGAAAATCATATGCTCAAGATGAATAGTTGATGATTTGTGAAATGGTTTCAGCAGTTGTTTGTGGAACTATTCGAACTTCGGTAATAAAAATATTTGCTAAAATCTGATAAATGCAACGTTATTTGCACTACTATAAAGCGCCAAACCTATAACTATGCATGCTAGTTTAAAGCTAAACCTACAAAGTGTTACTTGAGAAGCAGTTTTGCAGTTTACCGCAAACGTTGCTTATTATTTCTGAGTACAAGTTTCTTAAATTTTCAGACTTGATGAGTTATCAAAACGGAGAACATATAGGTACGTTTCCGCTGGTGCAAAAATGCCAATGAAGTGCTTGTTAGAGGCCTAACTTACTATTACTCCCAATTTTTCCGTGTGCAAGATTGCTGAAAGAAAAGTAGTTATTGAGATTTTGAGTTGGAATCCACAGACACAAAATTTTTTCATGGTAGTGAACCATTCTAGGAAAAGATCAGCAAGCTGCCAAAACAATTTTCTTGCCCATCTGCGTTTGGATATAAAATGTGATTCCAACTCACACAGCCGGTATCCTTTGAGGTTTTGAGAGAGACAGCATCGCTCCATATAGAGTCGCTACTACACAGCCGCTGCTGAAACGTGTCCCGCGGCCAACACAATCAAACTTTGTGCTCGTGCGCTCACCGGTGTATGCAAATAAGCACGCCAGAGCCAAGTATTTGTGAAAAAATACGTTGTTATCATTCGAACCTAACATCAGGAAAATTGCGTGTTTGCGCGATGTGTTCCAGGTACGGTTTGGTGCAGGTACGGTGTGGTGCAGGTACGGTATATGGTGCAGGTACGGTGTGGTGCAGGTAGGGTGTGATGCATAATGTGGTGCAGGCATGATGTGGTGCAGGTACGGTGTGGTGCAGGTAGGGTGTGATGCATAATGTGGTGCAGGCATGATGTGGTGCAGGTACGGTGTGGTGCACGATGTGGTGCACGATGTGGTGCAGATACGTCGAGCGTAAATAGGCCACTATATCGGTCGATGCTCGTGGCTGGCTCACTATATGCTGCAGTTGACCTGGTAATAAACTCGTCAGTCAGTCAGCATTCGGGCCAAAAGATTATCAGCATTGAGTTCATCAACGCGTAATCAGATCGCGAATTTGGTTGCGAATTGCTCATTGCAACCTCAAATAACCACTGATCGTCGGATTTGGAACAGCCGTAGACGAGTTAACGGCAACACGGACCGAAGTAATTATGAAAAAAATGTGCCTAGTGACAAGCAACTGATCCCAGAGTTCACGATTGGCTTTTGCTGCTTGATTTTTTTTAAGATGAATCTCATTCTTCATCGATCTACCCATACATAACTTGTGAATTGAAGTCGAATTAGGAAAAAATCTTGGAGCCTGAATTTGAGGTTATCAGAAATCATGCTTGAAATTTAATTTAAATCTGGGCAGGAGTTGGGGAAATATTTTCCGGTAACTATAGAAGTGGCCGTAAACTGACCGCGTGAATGTCTGATGAGTATCATAGGACAACGAAGTATTGAGCTGTCTCTCATTGCCCTGTTGCAATGCAGCGAGAACTTCTAGTGATGACAAGAAAATAGTTGATGATGCATGGTCGGCGAATAAAAGAGTCAAGTGATGATGAAACGTTAATCTTTCTCTGTCTCTCTCTCATGTTCTAATTTAAGAGCGCTGATGTATCAGTAAATGCTTTTCTCTACAATCAACAATCGTTTTACAGACTGCCAGTGATGTCGCTTTTGGAGAGAAAGAAGAAACAATGGGAGGAAGAGCGAGGTAAGTTTACTAATCTCAACCGTGTAGAAGATTTAAATGTGGCTTGAATAACGATTTTATGCATGCATATTTTCTTAAGCGCTTCCAACCTTTTAATGAGCGTGAAAATGTACAAGGCTACTTTCCTGAAACAATTCTCTTAATTTGAGTAAAGTTGATCGCTGGCCAGTAGTGCACGTTAATTGAGCAGCAAACAAGTTTCAAGTTGACTCAATGTAGCTAATATTTTCTAATGAGATACATTGTTTCTCATCAGCATTCCTGGCTGGAGCTGGCATCAACCTTTGGGGTATAACTAAGGAGACTTCCAGAAAAGAAAGCTCATCGAAGAAAAGCTCATCTTCTCCATCTGACAATCCCACCGAAAACGCGCTGAAGCTCCATCAGGAGCAGCAGCGCCTGACCATGCAGCTGCAGAAGCAGGAAATGCTAGAGAAGCATCTAAAACAAGAAGAAAACACAAGAAATACTGTTCAGGAACAATATCAGACCCAGCAGAGTATTAGGGTCGACTCTAAACCAGTCCCATTGCATAAACAGGTTGGTTAATGCACACATGCAGTGCACGTGTTATTCCTATAATAAAGCCGTCTTGCTACTGCACCTTTTAGGTTGCAGAATGATTCTGCTAGAATAACAACCATGGCTACAGCACATACAGTGTTACGTGGTGTCGACTCATAACTTCATATAAGGCTGGTGCTCCTATAACTGCATCTAATATGATTTACAACCAAGTCCCACGAATAAACATCTTTCAGATCGTTCACACGATGGCTCCTGGTATCTTCTCATCTATTTTCAGTAGCATTATTCAAAACAATTGTTAACTCCTTGAAGATTTTCCAGAGTTGCTTTCATATTAAATAATCTTTCTTTTCCACCTCCCTATCTCCATTCTTCATTTAATTTCCCTTTGTGTGACGAGAGTTGTCGTGAACAGGTTTGTATTTCTCACCAGAGCGCAGGTACCAGAAGGATTGTGTCCCCAGTAGAAGCCGGTATCACCATCCCCGACGACTACCTCAACAGAAACCGCGAAACTCTTCGCAACAACCCTCAGGGACACACTCTGAGTCGCTCACAAGGGCACCTACCCTCTGAAAAACACTACAACCCCCAGCCTTTGACATCTTTTCGTAAACAAGACAGCTTCTACGATATCAGCCTACCTTCTTCCAAGTCTATCCCGAGTCTGCTTCCTTCACAGTCCATTCCGGTACTTCAGCACCCCGAGTCCAACCAAGGTCTATCCGCGTCTCGATCGTTCCCTCACCTCAGCGCCTCCGTTGACTCGGTACAAGGTTACCAAATACAGAACCAAATGGGAGCTGGACCTGCATATTATCAGCCGTACCAACAACAGTACACACAACAACAGTACTACCAGCAGCAATATCCTCAACAACAATATCCTCAGCAACAATATTCTCAACAATACCCTCAACCGCCTTATAGTAGTAATGACTTTCATTACTCTCAGCAATCAGTGCCTGTAAGTATATTAGATTTTATTTCTGTTTAAACTGTTTCTGTTTAAATGTTTTTGTGCTCTGTTATATTTACGGAAGAAAATTACTTTTTGAATATATCCCCATTAGTCTCTACGATGATTTCGATCGTTTTTGCTGAGAATTACCTTAAATATATTAATTAATAACAACACCTTATTCTTAATTATGGCATATCATTAAGGTTTTATACTCAACAGTACCCTAGCGGGCTACCGCAAAGCTACCCTCTTGTCGGAGCGTCAGGCTACGGATACGGCAGTCCGTCCGGCACCATGGACGGAGGAGCTGCCTTGACCCAGTCTGTTGCCAACGCCTCTTACCTCGTGCCCACCTCTTCCGGCCGAGCTGTACGTTCCCTAGCTCATCAAACTGATAAATAGTACTTTAGTTTAAACAGATTATTCGATTTAACTTTATAAATTCTTCACTCAATCATCAAACATTCCTAACACTAAAAAATATTGTTCTGTGAAACAAAACGTTCTGCATTGACAATCTTGCGAGATCTATTAGGGAACATTTTTAATATACAGTCGTTATGGTTACTGATGTAGCGTCACTGCAACAAAAGCTTTCGAAAATATACTTGCTATTAATGCTCGCGGATTTTCGTGTGTCTTTTCAGAGATCAAAGTCTATTTTCAAGCATTTTCTTCCAATAATACATATTGATGCATGATGATTGTTCCTCGTATCTTGATCTGGAATTTCCAGTTACCGTGATAATTATGGAAAATAATTATAATCTTATAGAAACAAGTACATGATTGAACATAACGATATGTAAACAGAACCTATGAGCAAAAACCACGTTATTTTACCAACAACAGTACTCACAGCCGTACCAACAACAGTACTACGTTTTTGCTCGTTTATACGTTTAATGATTATATATTTATATTATCATTAAATTGGTAATGTTAATATATTTATAATTAATATATGTATAATGGCACGCACGGATAGTATATTTATATTATCATTAAATTAATATATTATATTAATTTAATTATATGAATATTTAAATAGGTTTAATGATAATATCGGTGGCTGAACAGGAGCTGCTGAACGTTCGCGGCACTCCCCCCGCGGACGGCGTAGGTTGGCAGAGTGTGTACGACGGTCGTAAAGTCTCCCACGGCGACTCCAGGTCCCGGAGACCTACGGACTCTGGAGGGTCACGGGCCAAGTGGGGGGACCACGGGGTGGGGGTAGGGCACCTGTGGGAGCCTACCACCGACACCAGGAAGGATTCCACGCCTCCCTCCTGGGTGCAGCAGCACGCCGATGGTGCTACGCCGGGGCAACAGCAGTCGGAACAGCGGTAAATGCAGTGTACTTTGAATTTTAATAAATTTAAGTGTCAGTGTAATTTAACTTGTAATAATTAAAACTTCAACTTACCGGATGTTTGAATTATTCTCGTTGAAAGTGTCTTTTTTCGTCTATTTTGAGACACGTATTATTTTTCACTGAATTTTATGAATGCTTCCATGAATAACAATTGCTAATATCGTTAGTCAAAAACTGCAAATTATAAAAAAAAAATCCGCACCGGTTTTACTGCTGGATGTTGTATATCAATTACTCGTGAGTAGTTCTTACTTCACGAAGAAATTCGATGCCGTCAATAAATAAATTTCAACTCATTTTCTAACTATGTGGAAACTATTCGATTTCATTAAACTAGAAGGCCTAACGCAGTCTAATGACACCATGATGCTTCAAATAGATTTAGGTATTGTATTGGATCAAATTGAAAAAAAAACTTTCTTCTCTTGACCTAATTACAAAAAATATTCATTCGTTATCTAAGTTCCAAAATTTTCCCTGTTTTGTCCTCTGTTATTAAAGTTGACACCTAGTGATGTGCATTAATAATATATAGTAATGTGGTGATGTGCATTAATAATATATAATAAATGTGGTGATGTGCATTAATAATATATAATAAATGTGGTGATGTGCATTAATAATATATAATAAATGTGGTGATGTGCATTAATAATATATAATAAATGTGGTGATGTGCATTAATAATATATAATAAATGTGGTGATGTGCATTAATAATATATAATAAATGTGGTGATGTGCATTAATAATATATAATAAATGTGGTGATGTGCATTAATAATATATAATAAATGTGGNAGACAGGTGGGTGATGGTAAGGTAGAGGGTTATAGAGAGACAGGTGGGTGATGGTGAGGTAGTGACCTTCACAGGGACCAAGAGAATGATCATATTAATTAAAGTGTCAACTTTAGCAAGCCGTTAGTATTCCATATCCATCATTTAGTCTTCACTGGTAATCAGGCATAATGTATGGCGTCGCAACAAAACCAATTTTCAGATCAAGTTTCAATTATCGAGAAGTTGTGGTAAATTTTATTATATCAACTATCAACGTAACATTGAATAATCTTTTGAAAAAATAATCTCTATCGAATATGTGTCGCTTGCTCAGTTGGAAGAGAAGAAGAGGCTGAAGGAGGAGCAGGACGAGCGGGAGAGGAAGGAGGCGGCGCTGTGGGAGGAGAGGATCAAGCAGCAGCAGGAGAAGGAGGCCAAGGAATATCAACAGGAACTCAACAGACGCAGACAGAAGGAGGTGTGGAGTCAAGCATGTTATTATGGACGTTCATATTTTGGTAATATTAGGAAGAATTTAATAATGATGCTTTCGATTTTTTTTAATTAGTAGTCCCGCTTATTGTGAATGGACGCTTGTAGGAGCAAGCACATGCGCGTCACTCTACTGCATGGTCTTAATGGTGTATATTTTACAGTTTTATGTAAAAGTGCATATGCTCTCTGAACTACTCTCTGGGATATATTATGTATGCTATTCGCTGATAATAATATATATGATTTATATATACATTGTCTTTTAAACAGCCAGATGTTGGGCAAACGTTTTAGTCATTTAACTCCGTCAGCACTGAACGATACTCGAATCCAACCTTCGAGCGCAAATCTTGCTCATCTGTTAACCGAATTGCTACTCTTGACCTTTATATCATTACTTTTCGGCAGCAATATTTCAATATCGGTGCGCTTGTGATGCGATAAACAGGCTTAACCAAAACTTATTCACCAGCATTCCTTTTGCACAAAGATAGGTATTGCAAAATAGATGACTCGCGCACTCGAAATGTGAAACATTTGTAGAGAATCAGGTTTCAATAGCAATTTCTGCAAATCTCAAACCTATTTATCTATAACCGTTGATTATAAGGCTAAAAAACATTGGCCTCGAAAGGGTTCACATCAGTGACGTTAAATTTTGATGGTGGAAAAAAGAATGGGAATTTTCGTGCGGTTGTTGATGCATCTGTTGAAACATTCAGCGTTGCAAGCACATGCAACTTACTTAGCGACTTTTGTGCTTAAATTAGCGACTAGTTGTCATCGATCGAAGCTCAACTTCCCATATTGTTTTAGTGAAAAATCTCTCTTATATGCTTGCAATTTATTTTTGTAGAAGGTGGTGTTACACATACTTGGTTCCCGAAAATTTAAGAGCAAAGACAACGTCAAGTCAATTCACCCTGTCTCCAAACAAACAATTTCACAGAATAGCGTAATCGTCATTTCAAAGATATAAAAAATATAACTCAGTACTCACTGCAGTGAGTGACAGAGAGCGCATTTTCTCGTCGACAAAAACATGAAGTCACGGACGGACGGACAGACGGACGGACATGACGAGCAAAATAGTGCATTTTTTCCATAAATGAGAAAATGCGCTAAAAATACACGTACAATAAGCAGAGAAACTCTAAATTTACTCGAAAATGAGAAGGGTTTTAATTGAAGATTTGATCAATTTACTTGACTTTTTCGTTCATTTTAAATGTTCAGTGAACTTTCAATACAAGCTGACGAGTTATATAAGTACTTATGCCTTGATTATGCTCACTTCTCGTGTACAGGAGGCGGAGGAGCGGCGGCAGGTGGCACTGCAGGAGGCTCTGAAGAAGGCAGAAGAACGAGCAAAGAAGGAGAAGGAAGAAAGGAAAGGGAGGCACATCAACTATACTCCATCCGACCCACCCGCTCTGGTACTTTTATATTCTTCCGGCATCAGAGAAATAAATACTAATGCTCAGTTTGTGAGCGTTACTAATTCGAGGATCTCAACAATTTTCAATCGTGATGTCATTTAGGCTTAAACCATTATATATTGTAAAGAAATTATTATATTATATTTCTTTTCTTGCAGGATGAAGCCGTCGAGTCAAACGCGGACACAGAAATTGGACTAACATCTTCGGTGTTGTCCAGGGACAGCAAACGTGCCAGGATAAGCAACCCCATCACGCCCGTGAACAACACCCCTCAGACTGATGCTTCTGCACTGCCACACTCGCCTGTACACCGCGATGCAAATGGCAGGCTAAAAAATCAAGTTTCTGAACCTCTTTCCAGTAACATCGCCCTACACACTGAACCTTCTACTGCTTCTCAGCGCAGCCAGCCTGCTGTTGATGATGCACGCCGGATCTCGAGTGTTTCTTCCGCGCCTCCTGCAACGACATCGTCAGGCGTCGCTCCTGACGTGGTCACAGCGAGGATAAAACTGCTGACGGCGCTCGGTCTGACGCCAGAGTACCTCGTCTCCACAGGACTGCTCGACAGATCTACTCTGCTGTCGCTGCTCGGTGTTGGCTATGGTGAGGTCACTCAGTGTACAGACCTCCTACTTGTAGCTAACTTCAAAGAAGAATGTTGTGGTAGCCTTGTAGATAACCGATACGTTTTCTTTGGTATGTCAATATTTGTCATGCCAAAGATTGATTATATTCATTTTTCTCAGCCTGTCATGGCAATGGATTTGGAACTTGGACGAGGCTGTTACCAGTATTCAGTTATCGCAATCCACGAATCCAAAGACCGCTGGCAAGGAATTTTTTAAATTTTATTAAACTCTATGACACTTGATCGAGTGCAGGAATTGCGTGTCATTGAACGACCGCTGTTTTTTGAGAGTCACTAGATGAAGATATCATACCTTCCCAGACTTACTATAATTACTAAACTAAACGATACTAAAGTAACATTTACAAAATATTTTTTGGAATATTTGCCTGAAGTTCAATTCAATGTCCCATTAACTGAGCTCCTCCTGAGCAGAGGAGAAGTTCGTGTCAGCGAGGTCCGCGTCGTCAGCGTCACAGGAAGGCCCTGACGCAGCCTATGTCAGCGGTCGCTTGCTGACGCCGCGCAAGTATCGCGAGTGTCGGGAGTTTGGCACCCAGTACGACTTGTCAGCTCTTGGCAGGTACTTGGCGTCTCTTGGCCTTAACGATCTAACTTCTCTTCGAAGGTACTTGGCACATTTTTCAGCCCGCACGACTCGACAATTCTTGGCAAGTCTTTGACATTTGTTGTTATAAACGGAAAACAAAACCACTTTGCTGGTACTTGGTACCTGTTGCACCTATTGGCACGTCAAATGTGGTATCTCTTGGCATGTACTGTGGTACGTATCAGCTGTTGGCTTTCTTATAGTTCTCTAAAACTGATCGCCCGCTCTCTGCAACGCATCGAAGCTGCTCGTCTGTTCCCAACTGAGCGTTATAACTGCTATTCTGTCCGCTACAGCGTATTATCGCTTGTTTTACAGAGAGGAAGCAACAGACGATTCAGGCGGACGTCGAAGGCGGTCCAAAGCTGGAGGACATCGCCGGGGCAGCGCCACTGATAGCCGACCGCCATGGAACAGACACAGGCGAGACCTCACCTAGAATAGAATAGAAGTGTCGGCGTTGAAGAAATAGGCCCATGGCCTGTTGCCGATTCTTGAACTTTTCGTGACTTGATTCACAAGGGATCCGGCCTTTGGAACACGATCTTTCCATAATTCCATAACTGACGATTGATTGAGATAGCTGCTGGACTTATTGCCTGGTCCGTAATTTGCTAGGCATTTTAAGACTGAACATATGCTCCTCCCTCATTTCATTCACATACAATTGACAAATTTCGATACGTAATTGTCACAATATCCAATTCATCGTTTTATGCATGTATAGGTGCCAGAAGTACTGAGTTTCACGCGTGCCACGTCATGTCTTGCAGGTCCGATCGGCCCTACAGAAAGCAGTCAGATAAAGACCTCGTGGCAAGTCGGAGAACACGAAGGAAGCTCTACAACAGGTGAAAAATTAACACACACACACTTTAGATTTTATTAACAACATGTCAAATCGCGTCACCCATGATACGATAGAGAAACAATAAAAAAAATTGGCCTCGGATATTTCCCAATTAAGTGTTTAGGCCAGCAAACAGTCATCGTAAGTCAAGATCATGTCCCAAACTAATAGTTACTCCGTCAAGTTTGTTGATCTCGAGTTGTAATTTCAAGTAAAGCCCTTTGGTAGGCTATCTAGATAGTCATTGATTCATAGTTCGTGTATCAGTAAGTTGATATGTTTTAATTGAGAGGCACAGGCTATAAGTAAACTTCTTTCTGGAGATATGCCAAGTTGTCGTTTAGAGTTAAATTTCACGGCGGGCTGTTCTACCAAGTCACCTGCCACGCCGGATATACATTATTTTTTTAATTCTTGCTGATTATTATGATTATTAAAAATCATTCACTTGAATGATTGCGTGCGTTAAAGCCGTATGGATTACTGAGCCATTGAAGATCTCCTGTATAAACAATAGTTACTAACTAATTATGTTGATTTACCCAACTTCGCCTTTGATTTTAATATAAAATTTAAAATTTAATTTAAATTTAATATAAAATGTAAAATTTATATTTTGTTATATATAATATCAAATTTAATAACAAATTTAAAATAAAAAATTGCTTTATTTTAAAGCCTCATTGATGCACAACTGCTGCATTTGAGACATGACGAGTAATTAAGTGCATTTTGGTGTGAGGTCGCTGAGTGCGTCAGGAGGAGACACGGAGGAGAGCGACGCTGCGTCCGACGCTGTGGCGGCCGCTGCACCGCCTCGCCGCACCTGGGACCAGTCCCGGCAGGAGTCCATGTCTTCTGACCAGTCTCGGTACAGCTCATATGTATTATACAATTAAAGCTTCTGTTACGTGTACTATACAATTAAAGCTTTTGTTATGTGTACTATACAATTAAAGCTTTTGTTACGTGTACTATACAATTAAAGCTTTTGTTATGTGTACTATACAATTAAAGCTTCTGTTACGTGTACTATACAATTAAAGCTTCTGTTACGTGTACTATACAATTAAAGCTTCTGTTACGTGTACTATACAATTAAAGCTTTTGTTACGTGTACGATACAATTAAAGCTTTTGTTACGTGTACGATACAATTAAAGCTTCTGTTACGTGTACTATACAATTAAAGCTTTTGTTACGTGTACGATACAATTAAAGATTTTCTTACGTTTACTATACAATTAAAGCTTTTGTTACGTTTGATAACTGACAAATAATTACTGTGTTATTGTCCGTAATAATGCTTTGAGCTGTAGTGTAGCATTTTCAATCACATCATCTCATAACAAATTTTGAGTAAATAATTTAGTAAGAACACGGTACACGACGTGCACATTCTTTTCAATTATTTTTACCTGTCATCCCACTAAACCTGCCTCAATTATGGGCACCGAGACATTTCCTTCTGAGACATTACGTTCAATTTTCAGAGCAGCGATTCTGCAGGCAAATATCGTTCCTCCGAGTTATGAAATGAACAGTCACTTTAGGAACGCAATTGACGACTGTGATTCAAGAAAGACCACAGTTGTGTCCATTAGGTTTCAATTGTAGTTTTCTGTTATTTTAATTTTCATAAAAGTTGCGTGGTGCATGAAAATTAATTTTAAATAAAATTTACGAAGGACGAACTGCTAGCTTCTTCGAACCTTATGCAGCGGCTGTTAGCTTCTTAGAAAGCAGAATTTAGAGCATGCAAGCAGTTCAATGTCAGGTTATATAGGGACTCACTAAACTCATGCCATAACACAAAACTGATTCAACACATGTTGTAAATGGAATTTATTAACTTTTTACACAATCAAAGAAAATAAAAAATGCCCCAGCCCTATTACACGGTTTACTTATTTCCAACCCAATTGTCCTTGTATGTATCTCTATGCATCTGTATTGCACGGAACATATTTACATATGGCGCTTGTGCTGCAGCCAAACTCGTCATGAAAGATAGTGACGTCCACAGTTTTAGACTTTTGTCAGGCGGTCATGTTTGTTGGGTTTATATTTTGCTATTCTAAGTCAAGTAGCAAACCTGTATTCTAATTTAATAATTTATTACACCCATCATTTTACAGATTTTATTTGTATGATTTCACCTCAGCAAGTTATTAGTTATTACTCGATAATCCTGAAGTTTCCTGTCGAAAATTTTACGTTTAATGGTAATGTATTTTTATCGTGTTAGATTTTCTGTCAGATGTGGAGGGTTATGGCTGGAGAATTGCCGGGGTGACTAATATACATTAATATTAAGTATCTTAATTCAGATCTCCATCACCGTCGCAAGAATCAGCTGCTCAGAAATCAAAATCTCGATCAACACCAGCTATCAAATCGCTAATCACCCCAGTTTACAAGGAGCACGAACATCGGTCCCGCAAATCCACCCATCAGTTGTCTCGTTCTCTTCAATCTCTCCAGAAGATTCATGAGTCTCGCAGAGATTCACCGGTCTCTAGCCCCACTGGAGTTCCGAGGTCTCAGAGACGAGCGATCAAAATCTCTGCCATGACGCTAAAATTGGCCGAGACGTCTGAAGTTGCACGGGAAAGTGGTCATAATGAAAGAAATGTTAATGCGGGAATAGATGGAAATATGAAGGAACAAGCTGAGGCGCTGCCGGTGAACGTGACTTCGACGAGCGTCAGCAGAGATGAGGTCACCAGCAACATGACTGATGCAGTCGAGCCTCTCGTCAGGAGTGACTCTCCTCCAGTTCCAGCTTTAAGAAAGGGTGTGAAGTCATGTTGTCTTCATGAGAGAGTAGTGAATTAATAAGTCGTGTTAATGTTCATCGAAAGTCCCGACAGTTTTTCGTTGTAGCAGTGGAATATGAAATATATGCAGTCATGTTTATCTTCAATTGAGTCAGTTTCTCTTTTTTTCACAGAATTTTCAATTATTTAAAGCTAATGTCACTGATATTTTGTATTTTAAGCTTCTTGATCCAACATTGTTGTCATGATTACTTTATAATTACCTTTTTGCAGCATCGGATGTATTTGACGTTCCCGAGTACGCTCCCGGGGAAGAACCTCCAACAGAGCCCTACAAGCCTCAGCTTCCATCCGCGTCTAAAAGGAAACTTAGAAGAACTCAGCTCAGACCGACCAAACCAATTGCAAGTAGAACGAAACCTACCACTGAAATAAACGACGAGCCTCCTGATTCTCAGCCAACTGAGACGACTGAGGAGACTCCTCCGAAACGTTCACAAATTGACCTGACTCTTCAATATTACGAAGCCCACAGGCCTCCCAGTCCCCCCGTTCCTGCGGTTCAGAAGAGATTGGAATCTCAGAAAAATCAAAATTCTAAGCTTCCAGGCCTGTCAGACAGTGCGCCGGAAGACCCAATTGCGTCTTCTGAAGCAGCGTTACAGAGAGAAAATTCTGCAGGCTCTTCATCGTTACCGAAGTTATCATTGACTTCGAATTCGCCTTTGAAGCTTAAAACAAGTGGGAGTCCGAGTAAACAGACTGACAAGTCTCCGTCCAACACATCCAGAGATTCATTCTATTCAAGTGAGTCGACGAGTCGGAAAAAATTTAATTCAAAGTAAAGGTAATTTTCTGTTGTCGGACCAATTTGAGATGTCAATGATATGTATATTTGTACCTCGTTGAATGAGTCATTGTGACATCGCCAGTTAATAAACACCCTTGAAATCACTAGTAGTTTGGCTTGGACTGTTCTTGAAATTGCGTTTCTCCTTACTTTGTGGTGCATAGGTTAATGTAACATTATGTAACAAGTGTAATAAATATGAATATAACATTACAGGCCCACCAACGCCTCGACCTTTCAACTCCTCCTCTTCATCGGAAGTACAAATGGCTTCCTCCAGTTCCTCGATCTCTGCTCGAGGAGATAGCGGAGGAATACCTCGGGTGCCTTCAGCAGGAGGTCGACCTCCAACTCCACGCCGCTTACACCCTCTGCGCCCTACGAACCACTCCGATGACGTGCGAAGCAATGATAGAAATCCTGGTATTGACGTTCACAACTCAAAAGGAACAAGTTAGTGCTTAAACGTCCATGCTATTATTTGCTTAAATTATTGTTAAATTTTCCATTTTCGTAGCCTCAGTTTGTTCATAACCAGACTCCGTAACGAGAAGGCTGCAGAATCGCCACCATACTATGGTGTGGTACATAATGTCTGACAGATTTTAAGCTAAAAATATTGTATAAAATTCTTTCAGTTGTCTGATGATATTGCGCAGGCAATCATCAACTGAGCAGAATTGACATCAGCAGCGGCCCCGAGTTCATCAAGGCCGAAATTCTTGACAATGTGGATGTTCTGCGTGAGTTTGCTTAGCTTTATGATATATTTGTGAAGAGTTGCTACTACTTTTGCTAGTAAATTTAGTCAGGATTCCATAAATCATGTAAAATGATCTTTAGATTAGACTATTCTTACCGAGGTTCTGCTTGCAGCAGGTTTTAAAGAGCGTCTGTTTTCCCGCGTTGCTGCTGCATTTGCAACCTAATCCGTGATCTGATATAAATGGATATTAATTTGAATTCTGTTTAGCACGTTTAACATGTGCTAAGTAACTTCAATCATGATTTTGATAATTTCAGGCATGGAATAGAAATAAACTAACAGTTAAGACTGAAAAAAAAAAACTTGAACTCCTGTCGTCAGCAACTCTATTGATTACCAAGAAATGAATGTCATACGAGCAGAATTCGACCACCATCGATGAACTTGTAGTCTGATAATTTATTTCGTGTTTTTATTAGATTCGCGAAAAAGTAGCCTCACATCCATCACCGAAGATGACCGTCGCACTACTGCCAGTTTGTCTTCCGGCTACGAGTCCGGGCGTCGATCTTCAGACGCAACGTCGACTAAACCGCTGCCGGACCTCGACAAAATTGAGGCCTGAAACCCTGCACCGGTTGGCGCTACACACGCACCGAGGTGAACGAACAATGTTAGTAATACATGTGTGGCTGACGCTTGTTGTCTGGTTGGAATGTGTGATTACTGTCACGTATGTGTGTGGACAGAAATATTGGACTATAGGGATCAGGATTATTATCAGAGAACTCGATTTTAGATAATATTATCCCTAAAGCTAATAGGTTAATACTGTGAAGATATCTAACAAAGATGTTTTTTAAACAATGATATAGCTTTTTATAAGGTTATTGGAACTTATTGCACTGCTCAAGTTAGGACAGAAGAAGACCTTGATTAGCATTGTAATCTTATGTTGAAATTCGTAATTGCAGAAAAATCGGAGGCAGCGTCGAGATCTTGCATCAGATCTCCTAGCTGATGCTATCAGTTGGAAACCTGACAACTGCTTGGACGTCCTGGGTGACAATTTTCTAATCTCATTGCTAGAAACTGATAAGTTCATGTTTGTTAAAAATTTCCTCGTAATCCAGTAGTTTTGGATATGCCATGTGTTTTTTTTTTAATTCCTGCCTGGAATGATCGTGCCAATGAATGTGTATGGAGCCAAGAATTGGCAGTCGCTCACATCACGCTCACTGAGGATATCCATTTTAATTGAACGTCATCTGGACCTTCATTCGCGAGGTTACTGCACATGGGAGCATTTAATAATTTAATATAACGAGTCAATACGCCGAAGTCATTGCCTATATTACCGATCGTTTCTTTGGCGGCAGGTCATTGAGACGATAAGGTGCCAGCGTTGCTTTCATAATTGGAACGCATGCTAAGGGCCAGTTCGTCATGTCCTATGGATGTTTTTTTAATATCCTTAAGGGCTGTGGTAGGAATAAATGGCAAGTTTGCTATTTTGCATCAATGTAAGATTTTATTGTGCATTAAAAACCTCTAGTCATGAAGGCAAATGCTGGTGATACTAACGATGTTATTTTGCATTTTTAATTTTAGTGTAATTAATATGAATAAGTCGATATAAATGAATGCGAATATTAAATATTGCACAATTTGTTTAAGAAATGTACAGCGATTTCCGTTTCTCATTTTACACGGATCAAAGACTCTATCACTATGACTCGTTTACCAATGTTGTCAAATTACATTCAAGTAATTAAACAAAGCTGGCCAGTGAATTATATCAACTCGCGAGATGAGTTGATATAAAGATAAAGCGATGAGTTCTAAGTAAAGTTCAAACTTGAATGCATTTTTATTGATCCTTCTATGTCATTTATGGTAGCCAGTGCCATGCAGGTAAGTTTGAGGTTTTTTTTAGTAATGCATAGTTTTCACTTGGTGTTCTCAAGGAAATTTTAATTACTGATTTTTAATCCCTTACCGAAACTTTTTGCTTTTTTTCAACGCTCTCTATCAGGGCGTTCCACACCAAATCTGCTGAACCGGCTTTACTTTACCGAGGTTTTTTCGTTTACAGTTAATGTCTTTCAATACGTCGCAATTCGCAAAAAGTACAGTTGCAAGGTGATCTTGACAGGCTGGTTGACTGGGCTGATAAGTGGCAGCTGCGTTTTAACGCTGACAAATGTAAAGTTATCCACCTTGGCAAGAATAATGAACAGCAAGATTACAGTATGAGAAGACACGGCTGCAACGACAGAGTGATGATGTCGAAGTATACATATAGATAGAAATTTAACTTCAAGTTCATTATAAGCCTAAAGCCAAGGTGGTTATACCACAGTAGAGGCAAATGCCCAAGTTTAGGTTGGTGTCTGCCTCCTAAATAAATTAAGAGCAAACATGCATTTTAACTTGAATAAACAAAATGAAAACTGAGAGTGATCACTCTAACAAAAAAATAGAATTAAGAAGGTATGGCATTAATTACAGACTGCCAAAGCGCGTCCATGAAGATAGGTGCATTCACCATCAAGTTACAATGCCAAAAACCTATTTACTAACCCATGCCTAATGATAAGCATGGAGAAAAAGAATCCAATATGTTACAATTTAAGAACTTCGGAAATTTCCTACAGAGTAGTCCGAGCGATCTAACTTGGAAGCAATCCTAAGTTTTGGAGTGAGTATTTTTATTGAAATTAAATTTTTTAACCAAATGCTTCTTGCATGATAGTCACTTAGAAGTTTCTCAATGTTAACAGTATTAAAAGCCATGCAGAAATGTAAATTTTTAATAGGTTTTAGGCTAAAATTTAGGCTCCTAAGCATTTGAAACTAGGACTCTCCATTTGAAATCCTGAATTCAAAATTTTAAAAGGAAGCCAGCTGCTGTGCTGCAACTGAAGACTGACCCGCTCCTAAACATGATTTAGTGTTGAAGCAGCTTTTGTTTGAGAAGGTGCTAGTGTGTTGTGCAGTGAGGCGGCGCTCGGTCCATAAAGAAGCCTTAATTGTTTCACAATGTCATAAGACTGGTTCTTTTATATGACCTATAGAATTGCACTATGCTGAGTTCAGGGTTGGTGATTTTTTTTTAAATAAAAAAATAATAAAAAATCAATGATTTTTTTATTTTTTCATGATTTTTTTTATTTGATTTTTTCAGCATATTTGTCTTTTTGAAGTGTTATTTTTCATGTTGTATTAGCCTACTAACAATAACAGTATATGGATCATAATGGATGGCTAAAAAGGGCACTTATTGCCTTCAATAATGGCCAACAGGCCAAGGTGGTGTTTACCACTAAGGGATTTTTGGGTAAACAATTATTGATAAGTCTATTCATTAGCTTTGTAAAGTTTGTAAGGAGCAAGGTAATGAGCTAAATATTGACCATTTAACTGGCTTCAATATGCAAAAACACTTCCGGAATGCAGATCTTCTAAACATTGAAGAGTCACATAACAGATAGGTAGCTGATAGCACAGTGCACAGCACTATCAATAGATCTACTACTACTAGTTTTATGTCCTATAAATCTACCAGACTCTACCCTCTATACACACTGACTGGTAGTGACTGAGTGACTGACTGCACTGTTCTCATTTAATTCAGACTAATAAACCAATACTAAACATAAACTGAGTCTGAATGATAACCAAACAAACCTCATACGACTTGAAAGAGACTTAAGTTACGAGAAAAGCTAACGCTGTTTGAAATAAACATGTGCACAATTCAAATATTTTATAGGTATCCATTCACTGCATTTAATTATTTTATATATAGTCTTATAATTGTAATTGTTTTGTTTCTAGTTTTAAATTCACATATTTAAAGATTTAAATTAAATATTTTAATTAGAATACTTGTATTAGGGTGGAAAATCTTTCTAATTGCCTAAAAGGTCAATACAATCTCAACCTCTCAAATACGGGGTGGACAGAACCAATTGAGCAGTTTTGATGTAAAATAAAAGAGTAATGGAGGTACATAAAGAAGAAAGTTTAATTTCCTAGAGGTTAGCATAACATACCATTTAGAATACTAACCTATGTTTTGAAAACAATATCTGGAAAATGGGGGCTGTTAGCTGCAACACACTGTTGGAGTCATTCTCAGACAAGGGAGTAAACGTAACAGTGAATTCCGATTGCTATGCTGCAATGTTGCAAAATTTCTTGCAGCCCAGGATGGAAAACATTGTTGAAAATGAAGCATTGGTAGACGTGTTGTTACCGTGCGTCTCTAGCGGGTGAGACAAACTCGTTGTCTGCTTATGAATTTAGAGGTAACTATCTAAGTGAAAGGATAATGAAACACTTTCTTCTCAGAATGTCAGCTTTAAGATGAGACTAAGCATGTAACTGCAGCACAACTCAAGTAGAAACTATATTCAAAGATTTCAGCAGCTAATTACTTTATATCTAGTTACTTAAAGAACTCTCCCACCCGCTTCCCTTTAAAGAGACATCATGAACGTAAATATTGGCGTACAGCGATGGCAGTGGTACCATTGGAAAGCGCAGAATTCCAGCTTTCAGATGAGCACAAAAACCGAAAAACGCCAAAATTGAAAATTTTAGGGTAGCCGGTCCCCTTAATCACATGATTTAATCATTTTGATTTAATCATTGCCAACCCTGCTATGCTTACACTCATTGCAACTGATTTCCAGACGAGCTTCACTGCATCCTGATCCATCCAATGCAGGTACCGGAAACCTTACTGTGTGCAATTGCAGTCTTTCAGATTTTCAACTAATTTCTAAATAGTTGGCCAAAGACTGGTAAATATCTAGAATGCAATAATTTCAATCCAAATGTGTTGGCAAGATCTTCTGAAGGTGTAAATTTTGCTGCTGATGTGTCACCAAAGATCTTTCAATATTCATCCACTTTCTGCACCCTGGAATTCTATCTATGACTTTCTATGCACAATTTTGTGATGACCGATAATGAATTAATTTTTCACTAGATGAATTTTTTTTGCTGAAAGATTTAAATTCAATCAAAATTCTTTGTTTTCAAATAATTTTTTTTAACTGTAGCCTTTGCTATCCAAGGTTCTACTGTAAATGCATTTTAGGGGTGTCTCATATTATCCCATCATGTGGATATGGCTGCCATTTTTTGGGGGAATGAGCTACGCAAATTCTGTCAATCATGTTTTTAAGCTAGCACATGTGTGCAACTTTTATGTAAGTAAAATTTTTCAATGCAGCAAATATTTTTTTGCTACAAACCTTAGTAGAGGTACTCTGTGCCAATGTTTTTAGTTTTGCAATATTTCAATTAGTTAGGTGCTACAACATTTCTACAAAATGTTGAAGGACTGTCCCTTATTAGTTATTACCCCCACCCATCCCTTATTACCCCATTTAACAGTCTCTTGGATATTATTCTTGCTTACAAAGTTACTAGCAGGCATCATCATACATATGAAATTAATGAAAATATCAAGTAGATGTGGACATTAAAAATGAACTGATTCTTAAAAGTCTCTGGTTTGTTTCTATGTTTGCCACTATGTAGTATGTAGTAAGAAGTTATTAACAAAAATTGCTCAAAACCATCCCTTATTATCCCATTTGATGATATGTAATCTGGGCAACCACCCCAGGGTTAAATATTTTTTAAAATAGTGATATACCGTACCATACTTCTGAATTTAAATTTTATTATCGTTGCAAGTGATTTAAAAAAAACACTTTTTCATGACTTGTTAACAAGATCACCTGGAAATTTCCAGAATACTGTTAACAGTGAGTTGATGATTAATTAAAGTGTGGTCAAATTCATTTTGAATCAGGGAAAAAGGGTAAAAATTGGCTTGGCTGATACTAATGCTAATGATTATTATTCTCCATGATTGATGTTCCTTGTTTATGTAATTCTGTAATTTTTTTACCAAAAACTTAAGCTAATAAATTTTTATTGCAGTTTCTGAATGAATGCTATTCACTCAAGGCTGACATAATAAAAAGATTACTATCTTAGCATCATGCCCAAAATTGTATCTGGCAGTGTTGTAGTCTCAGATTCTCGGGACCAAGAAGAAGTCAAAGAAGAGCGTCCTCTCACAGTTTATTATTGCCTTTGTGGACATATGGCGCTTATTATTGGTAAGATAATTTACTAATGATTAGAGGTGTAATTTTTTTGTTTACATTTTTTGTATTGTGAAAATCATGTGGTGGATTTTGTATTTGTTTTAAAGTTTGCACGTGATTTTCTCACATTTCTCTCAAATGTGAACTAATTAATAGCAATATAAACCCCCAGCACATTCTAGGTTACGGTATTTGATAAGGACAGTTATAAGGAGGAATGAGATTACATTGCATTTTAGTCTCTTATTTCATCTGCATTTTCTATGAGATTGGCTAAAGTATGAATAAATTAATCATATTAAATCTCTTTATTTGATAAATTATTGAATACTGATATCACTGATTTCATGGATTGCAAATTCATGATCACTGATTTCATGGATTGAATCACTGATTTCATGGATTGCAAATTTACAAGGAATTTAAAAACAAAGAAGACACTGCAGAGGCTCAGCATATATTTACAAAAGGCAACATTTGAGAGTACAACTCTATTATCTGTATTATCCAAAATTCAAAATTCCAAAATAGTTTCTTTTATGAAAATATGGTGAATTTTTTCATAGGACTTGAAAGGAGACTTAAGTTATGAGAAAATCTAATACTGTTTGAAATAAACATGTGCACAATTCAAATATTTTATATCCATTTACTGCATTTAATTATTTTATATATAATGTTATAATTGTAATTGTATTGTTTCTAGTTTTAAATTCACATATTTAAAGATTGAAATTAAATACTCTAATTAGAATACTTGTATTAGGGTGGAAAATCTTTCTAATTGCCTAAAAGGTCAATACAATCTCAACCTCTCAATATAAAGAGTGGGGCAGAACCGATTGAGCAGTTTTGAGGTAAAATAAAAGAGTAATGGAGGTACATAAAGAAGAAAGTTTATTTTCCTAGAGGTTAGCATAACATACCATTAAGAATACTTATGTTTTGAAAACAATATCTGGAAGATGGGGCCGTTAGCTGCAACACACTGTTGGAGTCGTTCTCAGAGGAGGGAGTAACTGTAACAGTGAATTCCGATCACTATGCTGCAATGTTACAAAATTTATTGCAGCCCATGACAGAAAACATTGTTGAAAATGAAGCAGTGAGAGACGTGTGGTTCCAGCAGGATGGGGCTACAGCTCACACAGCCCGAATGTTACTCCATGTTTTGAAACGCATGTTCCCAGACTCTGAGGGGTGATTTACAGTGGCCTGCAAGGTCACCTGATTTGAGCTTTTGCGATTTCTTTCTTTGGGGACATCTAAAAGAAAGGGGTTCAGAAGTCGCCCTCACATCCTACCACAGCTAAGGAATGGATTATTGCTGCAGAGGTTATGGCCATACCTTGCCATATGTGTGAACGTGCTGTAGAAAACTTCCGAGAATGACTCCAACAGTGTGATGCAGCTAACAAACCCCATCTTCCTGATATTGTTTTCAAAACATAAGTATTTTAAATGGTATGTTATGCTAATGTTGAGGTAAACAAACTTTCTTCTTTATGTACTTCCATTACTCTTTTATTTCGCCCCAAAACAGGGTTGGCAATGATTAAATCAAAATGATTAAATCATGTGATTAAATCACTTGATTTTTTTATAAAAAAATCATGATTTTTTTCGATTTTTTTTATTTTTTCATATATTTAATTATATTGAGTGACAGTCTTTAATTTATATTGAGGTATTGTTACTCATGGTTCAGTATAAATGTACTATGAATGACAAATTGGTATATAAACTTGTTGTCTTTAAGTGTGTGTATTAGGTTCCAATAAATTGAATGTTTTTGGTACAGAGGCATCAAAGGTGCAATACATTGTATGTAGCTAGCAGCTTAGCTAATTCTTATAAGGCTATAAGTAGTCTTCAACTATTTGGACTATTTGTTATATATTGATTACAATATACAATTTAAATGTGTTACCTAGCTTATACAGGGTGGGGCAGAACTGATTGAACAGTTTTGAGGCAAAATAAAAGAGTAATGGAGGTACATAAAGAAGAAAGTTTATTTTCCTAAAGATTAGCATAACATACCATTTATAATGCTTATGTTTTGAGAACAATATCAGGAAGATGGGTTTGTTAGCTGCATCACACTGTTGGAGTCGTTCTCAGAAGTTTTCTACAGTACGTTCTCACATATGGCGAGGTATGGCCATAACCTCTGCAATAATCCATTCCCTTAGCTGTGGTAGGGTGTGAGGGCAACTTCTGAACCCCTTTCTTTCAGAACCCCTTTTCTTGTCCCCAAAAAAAGAAATCGCAAATGCTCAAATCAGGTGACCTCGCAGGCCACTGTAAATCACCCCTCAGAGACACCAAACATCCGGGAAACATGTGTTTCAAAACATTGAGTGACATTTGAGCTGTGTGAGCTGTAGCCCCATCCTGCTGGAACCACATGTCTCTCAATGCTTCATTTTCAACAATGTTTACCATCATGGGCTGCAAGAAATTTTGCAACATTGCCGCATAGCAATCGGAATTCACTGTCATGGTTACTCCCTCCTCTGAGAATGACTCCAACAGTGTGTTGCAGCTAACAGCCCCCATCTTCCAGATATTGTTTTCAAAACACAAGTATTCTAAATGGTATGTTATGCTAACCTCTAGGAAAATAAACTTTCTTCTTTATGTACCTCCTCCAATTTGTCATTCATAGTACATTTATACTAAACCATGAATAACAATACCTCAATATAAATTAAAAACTGCCACTCAATATATTTAAATATATGAAAAAATCAAAAAAATCGAAAAAATAAAAAAAATGATTTTTATAAAAAAATCAAGTGATTTAATCACATGATTTAATCATTTTGATTTAATCATTGCCAACCCTGCCAGATACGTTAATCATTATTCCTGCCATTGCTCTCCATTCCTGGCAGTGAAAGCAATGTAAATTATGAATACATTCAAAATAATAGCAGAGGTAGGACCTACTGTTTTGTGTTAGATCTGGCATGCTTCTGTTTGAATACAGTTGGAATGAGGGAAGACTGGAGGGCTTTCTTAGGGATTTTGATAGTGTGAATGAATCTGTGAAGCACCTGGTAGTAGAATGTAAGCATGTGATGATAGGACAGGTTGTGAGAGCATTAACACCTACTGAGGTGGAGGTGAGAGTAACACCATGAGAGAACAAGGGAAGAGTGTGGATTACAATGAGTGTGGATTTGTTGGATAGAACAACTGTGACTGGTATTGGTAGTGCAAAAAAGGTATTTGGACAGCACTGATATAGGAGGGGTTTGTAAGAAGGAAAATAATTGGCAAAGGAAAAAAATTTAAAAATGAATATGTCCATTTGAACTATACTAATTCAGGATTTATGACACCATAAATCATGCAATTCCAACTTGGGAAAACCCTCATGCTTTCTAGATGTAGTGGCATTTTAAGTGCAAATGGCATGCAATTTCATTGGTACTTTCATTTTGTAAAATCATCATCCAGGCCTTCTATTAATTACTTTTTCCTTTAATTTTCTGATTATGGTGTGACTCTCATTTGAGTTGGAACTTTTACTCCAAAGCGCTTGTTTGAACAAATAAGCCATATTTACAAGCTCACAGTAAAAATGTCTCATGCCACCAGACTGTCCTCTGGAGAAGCTGCCGTTACGGGCGCGGGATGGAGCACGCGTTGTAGACGGCAACCGCCACGCTCACCGCCTGCTGTGTGATCCTGCTGATGCTGTCTTCCTGAGACGCAAACCTGAGGGAATGGTTGAGAGGCAGGAGCGCTCTAAGTGCCGCAAGTGTTCACTCTGGCTCTTCTATAAGCACGCACCATCGCCTCATCTTACATTTATTGTCAAGGTACCTATGCAAAAACAACCATTCAATTATTTTAATTTTCAATGATTTCAGCTTCAAAAATTATTTCTTCTAAAGCCTTGTAGTTGCTGCATCTTTTTTCTTGTTTCACACTAGGTAGTTTCCCTGGTCCAGGGAAACTTCTCTCATGTTTCCAACTCATGTTTCCACACTAGGTAGTAGGTTCCCCTACCAACATCTCCTGGTAGAATAAGATGTCACTCCAGTGATGCTGAAGGTCGTCGGCTTTCAAACGTCTCTAAAACTACTTCAAATTTAAGGAACATCATACAACAGTCAGAATTAAGCCAGAATTATTTTTCAAGTTTTTTTATATATGAATAAATGCATGTCCTTAAGGATTATGAAAAAATATTTCATTCATGAATGTGCTGGCTTCCCACACTCTAAGCCTTGAGATTGCACTTTCGATGAAGTAAAACTTACGAACGCTAAATGAGACCAATTATAATTCTACTGGTTTGGTGTAAAAAGCTAGCAGTACCTTCCATGGCCAGTAGCGCCTATACAAGAAGCCAATATACAGTAAACGGTAGCAGTTAGTATTTGAAAGTTGCACTGGCGGCCACCATTGTCCTTGTGTACCTAAATGGCGGTAGTTTTCAGGACTACAGACGTTACAACAAATTTTGATTATCATTGACCAGGGTAGCCTGGTGAGCAGCTCTGGCGCAGCAGTGAAGGAGCAGGTGGCCGCTGTGGCAGCAGAAGCAGCGGCGGCAGCTGCAGCACAGCAACAGGGCAACAAGGAACGTGTTACCATCACCAGACATACTCGCAACATGGGCAAGTTCTCCTCTGTTACGGTCTCAACCATTGATGAAGAGGAAGACGAGATTGAAGCTGTAAGTATTGCTCTCTGCTATATCTTAACACTTAGAAAATTATTATTAAACTAACACATTAAATAACACGATGCTGTGTGATCGTTGAATTTAATCTAATTCGTGAGTCTGTTTGCTTCTCAATAAGTCACAATAAGAATTTATTTGTAGTGGCAGGACCAGTTTGTGTTCGTCATAATTGATCTGAACGATTGAAGTACTTTTGAGATGAAGCAAGTCGAACCACGTTGAATGAGAAAGACCACGTTAAATTTAAAAAGAAAATATTTTTTTTTATTGTTGCTCTTGTTATTATTTTTACAGCAAGTTCGGCCACATTAGGATAAAAAATATCCCATGAATTTAACAAAGATGGAAATGTGCTAAAAAAACATTAATTTGTAGCGAGAAGTGGCTGACTCGTACGCCAGCAACGCTCGCATCATCGAGAAGCAGCTTGTTCGCAAGGGCATGAACAAGAGGAAGGCGGACGCCATCCTGGGTGGCAGCACTCCAGCGCAACAGGGGCTTAAGAAAGTGGCTAGAGGGACGCTGCTCAACCAGTAAACATATTTTGTACAGCCCTGATCTCATGTTCATGTTTTGTACAGTTCTGACCTCGTGTTAACGTCGAGTATATATTTTTTTTAAATGATCAATGTAGATAAGTATTAAAATTACTAGATTGCTTAAATCGCAAGTTCATCAGGAAATTAAAAGCAAAGAAAACAGCCAGAATATTACCCATTTCTTAAAAATGAAAACGTTTCGGAGTCCAGCTACATCGTCAGTTCAAACTTTTGGTTTTGAACTTTTGTACTGACGATGGAGCTGGACTCCGAAACGTTTTCATTCTTAAGAAATGGTTAAAATTCTGTCTTTTTTGGTATTGCTTTTAAATTCCTGATCAATGTAGATATTACATGCATTCCATTGAATTATTTCGATAGCACTTCCGCGCAATCGGGCGTGAGGAACTTTTTAGAAGCAGACCTCTGAGCCTCTGACTGCTGTGTGAAAATGTTCTTAGTTTGTGGCTCATGTAGGTATTGTATCATGCTGGCTTTGTGCTCCTGTTAGTTCAAGATTTACGGGAGCCTCTGAAGACTAGTTCAATGCGGCCCTCTCCTGTTAGCTTGGTAACATGTAAAGTTCATAATTTATATTGATTATACGCTTATTAATACGAAGTAAATTGTACAGAGTACAGCTTATGCTAATTCTTTAATTTATGAGTTCTATGTTCAGCCAATTCTGGCAATGAAGTAGTCAAGCGATTCAGTGTAATTTGGATCAAATGGAGTCTATATCTTGATGCAGCGGACCGAAAATACCAGACATTGCTTGTAGGTATTATAGTTAATATTTAATGTGCTTGTATATGTCCGTGTTTACCCTTTATTCAATTTTTTATTTCAAACAACCTAGAGGTTTATTTATTATGATTCCATGGATCTTTCCGCTCATATTTCTGATAAGATCCTACAATTTGGAAATTGTAGGATCCATGGACTACGCTATAATAATAATAATATTGAATTGATTATCGTTAGAACAATTCTGGCTTTGTAGTAAAAAAACTGTTCGTTGTTAAAATTTTGTCGTGAGGTGTAGACAATTGTATATTTCTATCCTACTAAACACAATTAAAATGTTACATTCATTTCTTCATTTGATATGCTATAAAATTGTTAATGGTTTAATGGTCCGGCAAAAGAGACTTGGGTGTTTGCCGCCTCACGTCGTGGCTGTCAGTATCATGAATGAGTTTGAGGGACAGCAGACGAGTGAGTATGGGGCGAGTAGACATTCACGGGACGAGTAAAGGTCTTCTCGTGGTGTTATTTCAGCTTTTATGCCAGTAGGCAACAGTTTGTGGTTCTGACATTGAGCTTATCCGTACGTGAAGGTGAAATTGCCAACTCGTTTTAATTAATTTTTAGAATTCTAAAAAACGGTTGCATAAAGAAAAAAATATAACTCAGTACTCACTGCTGTGCGTGACAGAGAGCGCATTTTCTCGTCGACGAAAACTTGACGTCACGGACAGACGGACATGGCGAGCACAATAGTTCATTTTTTTCATAAATGAGAAAATGCGCTAAACATACGCGAGTTTGGTCGAAAAATAGCCTATCTCTGACCTTAAATTACGTATAAAATTTTCCCGGTTATGCAAAAATTTCTCTCAAACTCCAGAAGAGTTTTTGATTTTATTGCACATGAACTAATGAATAATGATAGACTACCAATCGTGCTTAGAGGGTATAGTCATAGAAATTTAAATAATGATGTATCTTGTGGATAGAGTAGGAATCTGAAAAAAATCACACATTCTAACACGAGCTTTAGTTTGCAGTTTGTGCCCAAGTTTTCGTGGAAATCCGTTCCACGTTAATCATGGTCAAACTGCATCTGGCCTAAAATACTAAAAATATAAAATACTAAAAATATAAAATACTAAATAAAATATAAAATACGATGCAAAATTTTTCCTCTCAATAGAAGCATGAGCAGACCTAACTTAGGCTTATGAGCTGCATGAAGGTAGAGACGCGAGGCAAATGAGTAGGTAGTTCGGTCGGTAATATAATAACGATTTCAGCGTTTATTAGGCCGTAGGTCTGTCGCCGATTCTTATCATCACCGAACATTCACAGCATTTTGCGGTCTTGAACTCGCAACTCACTGCTACAATTCTGCTGTACTTAACCGCCCGGCCCCCTCGTACAGAGCTGGGATCGAACCCGCGCCAGTCTTTGTACTCTAAACTTTAACCACTGAATGGTTGCAAGAAAATATTGAGCCAGCTGGCAGGGCAGCCTGAATAGGTAACGCCCGAGTAAGTGAGGCCGGATGCAGAACAGCCTGCTTATGAGCGAGCACTTCAGTCTGAGACTGAATGTTGTAAGGGTTTTTTGACCATGGACGTTGGATCCAGGTCTCATTTATGAGTTCAATTAGTATCCCACGGCTGCGTTCCCCGGCTAACGGGTTTTTGATGGTTTAATAATACTAATTGCAGTTTCAGCATAAACGACTTAGCCACCGTGGCTGTCTCCGATCCTGAAAGTCGAAGAACTTTTCACAGCTTTTTGCGGATCTCGAACACGCAACTCGCTTCTCCAGTATGCACTGTGCCTAGTTCAAACATGGCACTGTGCTTACCCGCACGTCCACTCTGCCAATTTCACCTGAGCTGTCGCAGGTAGCTGCGATTGAACCCACAATTCACTGCTCAGATCTTGGTACTCGGAACTGTATCCGCTGGGCCAAGCTCTGTTTGATTTGAGATTTGAGGCATAATATTCCTGATGTTATAAGCAGTCTTCAAATTTGAATAAATATTTTTCAAATTGCTTTTATTTTCATTTAGGTTATTGATTCATGAATTCTCAGTGACTAACTACAGCGTTGACTGGACAAAATATTTGAGCGTCTTAATATGTTGCTAATAATTTGAAACATTAGTAAAACAAATAAATTCAAATACAGTGAGTTCATTTATTTACGACTAATAAATTTGATTGAATATTCCAAAGTAAAATATTAAACATGTTTGTCATTAGATAGTTTAAATACACCGCCTTTGACGTAACAATAAGCTGTTCTCGCGAAATCTCGCGCAGCCTCGTCCACTGCGAGACTGGGGTCTGCTTATTTGCAGATATGGATTTGTTGAAAATTGCGAAAGTTTGATGTGTTAATCTATAAAAATGAATAAAAACGTTACTAGATTTGTTGAAATATTTATTATACAGTGTTTCTTTAAACTAAATACTTAGTAGAAATCATTTTAAAGGCGATGAAAAGCCTTTGAACATCGGGTAATTTAGCTAGGAGTTCCCGAAACTGCTATCGAGCAGCGCCGTCACCACCGCCTTATTTACAGCTCGATATTCTTCGTTCAGTTTATTTCTGCGTCTATGTTGAATACTATTCATCAGCAGAAAATTAGTGCCGTGATCTCTGTGACCAGCGTTTGAGGAATTCGTTTGCGCTTTGCTTGTTATTGGTGTTAAATTGTATGAAATACAATTCAGTTTTTGCTGTGAAGTATCGGCTAATCTTTATACAGCCAGCGTTGTCTGACGTTTGTAAAAAGAATATTACGTACGTAAATTGGACCATTCTACGGTCTACGCCTAATCTAAACTTATAAGCCAAAACACGGCAGCAATTTGCATTTTATGGTTCTTGAATAAACTTTTGTTAGGCCTATTTATTTCAAATCGATTCGTTCTGTGCGTATTGCTTGACATTGGATCATTAATGATTTAGGTACCCTATGTTTTCCAATACCGGCCAGTACATTATCAAATGCTCTATAGTCTTATAGAAATAAATCAATATTTAGTTGACCTTTAATTAATCTTCTTGTGCCAAGGTTCCATCTATTATATATCTTATCAATAAATAATAAGATTTCAATCAAATTCACTGATTCACTGATAAAGCAATTCTGTTCCCAAAGAATCAAAACATAGTAGCTAATTCTTATTTCTTAGTACCTACTAATTTAAGCCTAGTAAGTGCCAAGTGCCACAGCCCACAATGCCACAAGAAGTATTTAGTACTAAGTTGGCCAATGTTGGGTTCTAAATAAGTGAAGTTTATTGATTTTAATTTTGGAGTACTGTTAACTTTTTTCAACATGTAATGACATGTTCCATTTAAAGACCTACAGGCATTTTAAGTTGAATTTTTTTGTTAAAATTGATCAAAAGACATATTTAATGTGGTTGTTGGAATTGAAAATAATGTGGGTTGATGGTTAGGTTTGTGGTGTCTAAGACAGTTGCAAAGCAGTGTGGCTGATTGCCACTTGCTAAATATACCTAGCTTTATTGGATTAAATAAGTAAATCATCATGTCTGCTGGTAGTGGTAATTTTGTTGATAGAATTGACCCTTTTGCAAAGAGGTCTTTGAAAAAAAAGCCTAAAAGATCTCAAGGATCTTCACGCTATCGCACAGCTAATGAAGTTGATCTTCAGCCTCTTCCTATGTTAAAAGGTAAATTTCAGTTTTGTCATGAAAAAATGTATGCTAACTATGCTTCAGTGTTGAAATAGAGGATTTGAATCGTATAAATGATGAATGATTTTTGCCACTCCTCCTGACACTGGCAGCAGCATGGACTATAAGTATATCTATCATTCAAGCCACAAATAGAGGTTTTCTGATATTTTCAGAGCTGCAATTAATTCTAGCTTCTAGTTCTAGGTAAATTATTCCTATCTATTTGTTAGTAAAACTGCATGACCATGCCACAAGATTCTAAATGTACTTGAATTGCATACTTTTAAGCTGTGAAGTTTCATTCATGAGTAGGAAAATTCCAATCTAGTCGTGACAATAGTTAAAAACCTAACTACTTCAGCCTTCCATTGAAAATATCATTCTTATTATCAGCCCTTTAAAGCCTTCACATTCCTTTGCTTGTATTTAAGTCTACAATGAAATCATTGCCTGGAATTCTGGGAGGGACTGGGGGGTATTATATTAATGAGAACACAGAGCATATTAGACACAACCAATCACAGTCTGGAGTAGATGACATCACAATCACATCAACCAATCACAGTCTGGAGTAGATGACATCACAATCCCATCAACCAATCACAGTCTGGAGTGGATGACATCACAATCCCATCAACCAATTACAGTCTGGAGTGGACGATATCAGTTATCACATCCAATTGCAGTCTGGAGGTTGGCATTCATCTGCTAAAAAATGACAAGCTTTATGCTCAATCCTAGAATTACAGCCTGTTTAATGAAATCCCTCTGTAAATAGAGAATCATTGTCTCATTGTTCCATGCCTGGCAATGATGGCATCACTGCCTGAAACAATCAAGAAACAAAATGAATGATTGAAAAATTGGTTCTCTTATTTTTCAAATTATGGAAGGAGCAATATATCTTTATTCTATATTAGTAACTATAATGTCAAATTTGAATAAAGTTCTATAGTTTCCCTTCCATGTGTATGATTGATTTTACATAGTAAGCATTGTTTTGAGCATATGGGTTTCTAGTGGATAAATCATTTGATTAGATTTTCTCTCTCAGTATGCACATCCTTGAAAAAATGCCCAGGATAAAATATATCTCCAGTCTATATATAGTACCATATGTAGCTACATTATATATAGTTAGACCATGGTGCAATATGAGAGAATAAATGAACAAATGTACTCATGTATATATGTTATATTTGTTCAAAAAATCTAACCCTGGATCATACCTTCATATATAAATTATCTGATATGTCTGGATCAACCAAGTGACACAGACTTATATATGTTGGTCTATTTTCTTGCAACCCTCTCTTCAATTCCAAATGGAAAAGTAGTGGAATCAATGTCATAGATATGATAGTATTTTTTTAATTTGAAGGACTTGGTGTAGTATGGAGAGACCATTGTAATGATAGGAAGCACCATTCCATTGGAAGTAAGGTTTGGTAAGGAAAGATTCACTGTACAGTAACCATTGACATCAATTGACTGGTCACAAAGTTTCTGCACTCTCTATTACACCTGGAACTTCTTATATACATTTTTTTAGTCTCTTTGTTAATTGCCAAATATCTGTATACTAATATACAACAAATTTAGGCATATACATATATACTGAGCCATACAGTATATACATATATATTCTCATAAGGTGTACTTATTTTGTTTTTATTTACAATAGTTGTACAGGTAGGGTAATACATGGTGCCATGGCCATTGTGGAGTGACAAACTATCAATCAATAAGGAGGCAAATATATACTAACTGGCAACTGCACCATATCAACTCTGATGGTTGAATCTCTTTAAACCATTTTAGTCACTTCAGTTTCTATTGCTACCCTGTAATGATGAAAATTTGTAAAAATAACTGGTCATTCAGGGAACGAGCAAGTATAACATAACTGAAATCACATATAAGCATGTACTGGTATAGACATAATGCTTATAACATCAATAACTAAAAAAAAACAAAAATTCACCTCAAACTTACGGGGCTTCCTGCCCTAAATAAAAACAGCCTTGTATTGATGGTTTTTGAAAATATTTATACTGTAGTTTATTGTACAGAGCAAAAAAATCAAGCCAGTTATGGATTACTTCATATAACACCTTTGTAACTTGCTCACTTTTTTTCACTTTATTATATTAACTACAGTTTTCATAAATTCTCTGTGTTTGGCCTGAAGCCTAATGTTCCCACTCAACCTGAGCTACATTAAAAGTTTTTAGTTACTAATTGTGTAAGGGCTAAATGCTTGTTTGTGATTTTGGTCATGTCCTACTCCACTAGAAAATTGACTTTCAAATTTAATTATTGGCAGTACAGGGTAATAAAAATATTGAAGTATCTAAAAAAATACTATAGCAGATTAATTTATGTAATTTAAACTAGTGCCAGGAAAAAGACCACTATGGCTGGTCATTTATTACTCATGCTAGCTTTGCTTGTGTGTTTCCCCATCTGATATAGGTACCGGTAGTATATCTTATGGAGAAAATTTAGTATCATCATCACGCATCCTGGTTCATCTATATCTGTAATTTTTAGTCATGCTAGCAAAGAAAAGTTTTTAAGGAGTTCAAGTGATCTTGGCACAGTCAATATTAATTAATTTTTATTTTTTTTCTTCTTTGACAAATGAGGCTGGCTTTGGATATCTCTCAAAAATGAGTGGCCAAAATAAAGAAGACTATTACAAAATACAATATTTTCTAATAACATTCTTGATGCAGCAGGTTAGTTTTCTTCCAAGCTACCTCCAATGTAGTCCCTAAAAAATAGACTGCAAAGTTGCAAGATTTTACTGTATGTTTGTAATTGCAGATGTCCCAGGGGGGGAGCAGGAGGACTTGTTCCTTCGCAAATTACGGCAATGCTGTGTTGGATTTGACTTCCTAGACCCCGTGGCTGATCTCAAGGGCAAAGAGACTAAACGTTCCACTCTCAATGAGCTTGTGGACTACATCACGGCAGGCCGGGGGGTGCTCACCGAGCCTGTGTATCCGGAGATCATTGCAATGGTAAGAATGAGCCTCATCATTGCAAGGTTCAAAGGAGAAGGATCCTTATATTAGCTGCTATGAGCTACTCCTAAATAAATTTAGAGCCTCTCATTAACTGAAGATTTTCAGCCACTTGCATTGATTAAGTCAGATAGTTTTATAGTTAATTTTAATGTAGTTAAAAAACTAATTATTTTTATAGATTCAGGAATCCAGGAAACCAAAGAACCTCATTACTATGGCAAGTTCCCAAGAGGGTATATATATTCAAGGTAACCACTCATCCTCAAGCAGGCCCCTAGGGCTGCTGAAAACAACTGAGACAGAGAAATTACATTAATAGTGAAAGAAGATGATGCAACTTGACTTCTTTGTTATCTTCTGTAATATGGTAGTTAACATTCAAAGCATGCACACAGAGTTGTGACATTTACTGCTCATCTTTTTTTCTGTTATTTAAACTGTTGATGCTGGAGTGGTATTGACATATGTGTGCCACACAGTGTATTGCTCATGGATGGAGTGGTATGTATGTTTACTACATGAATTATTTATCACTTTTAACACATTAAGCGCGGCTATGTGGCATTCAGGGCATATTTCATAGCAGTGGTACGACCCATTGGTGGGTTGTGCTTGTGCTACATGTAACTTGTTAGAAATAGACTTTTAAATCCAAGCTTGAAAGTTATTGTCATATTAGAGTGTTACACAGTTGTGGAAAATACAGGAACAATTGAGAATCATTATGAAACTGAAATGTATGTATTTTATTTAAACACACAAATTAATTAAATATGGCGTTTTTTAATGGTGCAACTCACTGGTCTTGTAGGGAAGTTTGGCAAATGAGCATTGGTGTCGACATGTCAAACGGTCCATAATATTTGAATTTATTGTTCATTTTTTGAATGTTGCTCATTTCTGTTTTCTTTTCAACAATTAAATGAACAGATGAAATTAATGTCATGATTTCTTATTTAAAATTTTCCAATAAATGGAAGCAGTGAAAGAGTTCTAGTGCTTATATTACTTATGGCACAAATAGCATTCAAAGAATTACTGAAGCAATGCATCTCATTTGAAATTTAGAGTTCAGAAGAAGAGTAACTGAATTACTGAACTGAACTGAATCCAAATGAAGTGGATTTACACTGAATGATTAACTGAACATTGTGAATGAAACATTCAAATGGTGAGCATTGTTAATTTCTCATGCAGGTGTTGATTTATTTATTTGATTTGTTGCTTATGGAATGCAAATGAGGTATCTGTTGATACCAGAACTACTGCTTACTACCACAGCCTTCACGGGCATGATGAGGCTAACATTGTTTGATCCGTGGTTCTATTATTATGATCGTCTATATTCTTCAGCTCTTTCTCAACTATTGTATTAATCCCAACTCGTGCCAAGAAAATATCACTAGCCAGTTCCTGATGCCATGTTCTTTGCAGATTGCGTGTAACTTGTTCCGCACACTGCCCCCTTCGGACAACCCCGACTTTGACCCTGAAGAGGATGATCCAACTCTGGAGGCATCATGGCCACACCTTCAGCTGGTGTATGAATTCTTCTTGCGCTTCTTGGAGAGTCCAGATTTCCAGCCAGCTATTGGCAAGAAGGTCATCGATCAAAAGTTTGTCTTGCAGGTCAGAAAGAATTATTTTTATTGCAAGAAAACAATGGTGGGCATTTGTTATCAACTTAAGCACATGTGATTATCTTGTGCTGATGAAAACTTTTCAAACTCATGGGTAAAGTTCTTGATACTTGAAATTTCTACTTGATGAGCTTGGTGTTAAAAAGTTATGAAAATCGTTACAACTTTTAACTCTGATCAGAAATCTTGTACAATTATGAGGCAAAACGTTCTAGACAAAGTAGGAGTTTGGCATATTTCTGGAAGTTACATCTAATAGCAAGACATTCATGATGAAACCTACTGGTTGATCCTGAATTTAAGATAGAACTTATTATAGAATGAAGTTAACTTGTTAATCCTTAATCAGCACTTATGGAATTTGTCGTTTTGTTAATTATCAAAGTGGAAGATCTCATTCTATATTGTACCTCACTAGAATGTCTCGTTTTGTCTCTTACCACAATAGAATGTCTTGTTTAGTCTCTTACCACAATAGAATGTCTCGTTTAGTCTCTTACCACAATAGAATGTCTCGTTTAGTCTCTTACCACAATAGAATGTCTTGTTTAGTCTCTTACCACAATAGAATGTCTCGTTTAGTCTCTTACCACAATAGAATGTCTCGTTTTATCTCTTGCTACAATAGAATTTCTCGTTTAGTGTCTCTTACCACAATAGAATGCCTCGTTTGGTCTCTTACCACAATAGAATGTCTCGTTTAGTCTCTTACCACAATAGAATGTCTCGTTTTGTCTCTTACCACAATAGAATGTCTCGTTTGGTCTCTTACCGCAATAGAATGAATTTTCTAGTTTTCTAAGGTCTTGAGTTTAATCTTCCTCATAACACTTCCTAACATATTTAATGGAATTGTTGTCCTAATTTATAATCTTATTTTGGGATAATTTTTTCCCCTTGTCTCGTAGTTTTTCCTTGAAAATTTTTCGCCTCTTTATAATTTTTCTTATGAGAAAATATATCAAAATTCCTGATGGGAAATCAACATGCTTTACATTATATTTGAATATTGAGTACAAAAAATTAGTAAAATAAATAACCATTTACACTACATTTATACCACCACATGAAATTTGAAGAGCAACGACAGCTAAATTGTTATGCCAATTGTCTTATTATTGTTATATTCGTAAAACGATGTAACAAGCCATCATGTTTTGTTTCAGCTTCTGGAATTGTTTGATAGTGAAGATCCTCGCGAGCGCGACTTTCTGAAGACCGTTCTCCACAGGATATATGGAAAGTTCTTGGGCCTAAGAGCATTCATCAGAAAACAGATCAACAATATATTTCTTAGGTCAGTTCATTATTATTCTTCCCTGCATCATGAATGAAATTATTTTCTTTCACTTTTCTTGTCTAATTCTATCATTTCATAATATATTGATCCAGTGCCAGCAAATACGTTATAAGACCAATTGAATACATTACATTTACTCATTCAATTTGAGTTGCTAAGTAATAATATCACTCGTTTACTTGAATCGCAAATTCACTAAAAACTTAATAGCAAAGAAAACTCGAACTGACGATGGAGCTGGACTCCGAAACGTTTTCTTTAAAGATACTATGAATTTTTGTGGAGTTTTCTTTGCTATTAAGTTTTTATTTGAGTTGCTGTTCGATTGTATTTTCATAGACTGATTAACTTTCCAAAATGTTACATGTCTCCCGTTGGAATGGTACAAGGGCAGAATTTTTTGTTAATTGAAGTGTAATGCTTTTAAGGGTGATCACTTAACTTCTTTGTTTTTCAGGTTTATATATGAAACGGAACATTTCAACGGTGTTGGTGAGCTACTTGAAATCCTTGGCAGGTATGACTGCTAGATCGTGATCTCCTAATTAATATAAATTATGCATTTTTTTGCTGTTAATGTGTTGTTCCTGAGCTCCACGACTTCCGTGAAGCGAGCCGAGTGAGTGTAATTTTCTAGGCCCACTCTTAAATGTTCTGGGCACACTCTAAATGTTGTGAGAAATAGGAGTGGTTCGCCACCCATATTAATTGTACTAAAGATTAAGTGAATACTTGAATTACCTGGTAACGGGTAGCTTGAAGGTTTTAAATAATTTAAGAGTTCACACTCCTAATTTTGATATATTTTGGGCAGTATCATCAACGGATTCGCCTTGCCCCTCAAAGCTGAGCACAAGCAGTTCCTGATCAAGGTGCTCATCCCCCTGCACAAAGCCAAGTGCCTGAGCTTATACCACGCCCAGCTGGCCTACTGTGTTGTGCAGTTCCTCGAGAAGGACCCAACACTCACAGAACCTGTCATAAAAGGCCTCCTCAAAATTTGGCCAAAGACGTGCAGCCAGAAAGAGGTTTGGGCATCATATAGGAAGTTTCTTGTGTTTCAGCAAGAGTTTCGTTGACAAAGTTTGCCTTTGTTCCTGAGCTGATTTTGGTGTAGTTTAGTGAGTAGGAAGGACTCATCTAAGAAGTCATTCAAATACAAATTATTCAGCATCCAGTTGATAATTTTGAGTGGAACATTATTATATCATAATTTTGAATGTTTCTCATGTTTAAATAAAAGTTAATTTTGCGAAGTTCCCGTTGTTCCTGAGCTGATTTCTTTTGATTCTGTAATTAGGAGGAACGTGTCCAAGTTGTCATATAAACACACATTGTTGAGCAACCGGTTGAATGTTTTTTCAGGTCTCTTGAGTCACTTCGATTTTACGGCATTGAGGACTCAATATATCACATGCCTTTTTTTTATCAAATGCGTCATGCCATCTGCCATGTAACAGATTTGTAGGATTTGTTGTCTTGTTTTGACATCATAAAATGTTCAATTTCAAATTAGCATGATCATATCCATGTAATTTATGCAGGTCATTGTTATGCTCTTTTTTTTTGTGCAGGTCGTGCTCATGTTATTTGCAGAGGTTATGTTCATCTGATTGTTTTTTTTTGCGGATCATGTTTATGTTCATGATATTTGCGGAGGTTATGTTCATTCATGCTCATGTTTATTGTGCAGGTCATGTTCCTAGGTGAAATTGAAGAAATATTGGATGTGATTGAACCCAATCAATTTGTGAAAGTGCAAGAGCCTCTTTTTAAACAAATATCAAAGTGCGTCTCCAGTCCTCATTTTCAGGTAAGTGCAAAATGGTTTAAATTCTGCGAATGAAGCAGAAAGCTTCAATGGGCAGACATTTCATATTGCAACGATCGCATACGAGAAATTATTTCACTGCCATCCAAGGCACGTGGTGTATATAACGAATTTTGCAGGCAGGAATTTTGAATAGCTACTAGGAAAGATGAATATTTTATTAAACACCTACCAAAGGCCAGTACCTTGAATAACGTCTAGCAACGGCAGTAGTTAATAGCTATCAAAGACACGGCTAGGCAGGTAGTTTGTTACGGTTACTGAAAACTCATTATATGTGTTCTAGTGTTGTTGCTTCCCATAAAGAACTTATTAATATTTAAACTATTTCTTCGTGTAATGATACTTAAAATATTGTGGAATTTTTGCGTAAAAAAAGTGATGGTTTTCTGTGTCAGGTTGCCGAGCGAGCCCTGTACTTCTGGAACAATGAGTATATTATGAGTCTAATAGAAGAAAATTCCAACGTCATCTTGCCCATCATGTTTCCGGCACTCTACAGAATTAGCAAGGTGAGAACCATTCTTTTCTTGTATCCATTAAAATGGATTCAGCTCTGATAGTTTATTTTTCTATAAATTTTGAACTCGTAAGTTTCCAGTGTTGCATCAATTTATTTGGACTGATAAAGGCTGTCATGTTCCTAACGCTTTTCTATTTGAAACTAATTTATTACCATCAACCAATCTTCGTTATATCTTGAACTAAAACTACTCTTTGACTACTTGAAAATTGAAAGTGGCAAAATACAGTTTACAATCGTACTTAGAAGCACTAATGGAGGAGGGTTGGTCTTGCCGGACCTCATAAGAACAGATGCGAAAATTGTTCTTGTTTACATTTTACGCCATAAAATGCTTCTATTACGATCACAGTTTTATCAAGCCCAATTTTGTTTGACTATTTGGGTCCTAATCAACAACAACTTAGAACACAAAAATCACAGTACCGGTACCAGATTTTTAGATTTGCCTACCATCTCGCGAAACACTCACTTTGTTTTCTTTTGCAGGAACATTGGAACCAGACAATTGTGGCACTCGTGTACAATGTCCTCAAGACCTTCATGGAGATGAACAGTAAATTGTTCGACGAGCTCACCGCGTCGTACAAAAGTGAACGGCAGCGTGAGAAGAAGCGTGACCGCGAAAGGGAAGAATTATGGAAGAAACTACAGGCTCTCGAACTAAACCGCCCCGAAGAATAGTCAATTATATGAGTGCTCATGTGCCAAACTTAAGCAGTTCTGAAGACCACTCATTATGACCCTTGCAGCGTATAAGGCATCCGTATTCAGTGAATTTACACCGTATTCGGCCTGGGGACCGAATTGGCAGTTCTTGGTTCTGGAAGTTATTATTGGGGAAGGCAGCTACGGACGTGTGTTCCATGTTCAAGACCAAAAATCGAAAGAGCAGAAATGAAAATTTTGAAACGGAAAAACCGTAGTTTCTTGTAACTGGAATGTAAAGTCAGTCAAGATATTCATCGAGTGGCACCTGGCGGATTCTCTCCTGAAATACCAAGAACTAAACTTGTTAATATTGAAGATGGTGTCTAAGCATTAGTAATGGCCTTCAAGGCCGCACCCTGAGGAGCATATAGAAAGAACTAGACGGCAAATTTGATCCTTACTTAACTTGCTGTATGATTGCAAAAATTTTGAAAGGTCTTGAGGCAGTGCATTGCGCTGGCTACGTTCACGCCGACGTCAAACCGACAATTCTCCTCTTCGACTCAGGATCCGTTTTAGTTTGAGCTGTCTGCAAAATTTTCATGGTAGACTTTGCTCGAAGCCGAAAATATCTAGATGAAAACAGACAGCGCGTCCGGTTATTGTACCGTCAAGGAACTCTAGGCACGCTTGCTTACATGTCGATCAAGATTCAAAGAGACATTTCCATGTCTAGGAGAGATGACATGGAAAGCCTGGCTTACGTCGTGATATTTCTGGACAAAGGCTCGCTGCCGTGGAGCCAAGTAAACTTGTAAGACAAGGCAAAGATGTACCAGGATGCTCTTATTCGCAGAAAGCAGGTCAATCAATACGAACTTTGCAGAGATCTTCCTTCAGTGTTAATGGAATTTTTGAAATACGCTCGTCAAATGAAATTTGCTCAACAGTCCGAATACACCCCATAGATGAAAAGGTTTATAGCAGCTTCAAATAACCCCCCCCCCCTCTGCTGGCCATCATTCCTGGTCTACGGCACAAAGCTACTCGCTCGCCCGACGCTGGCGAACGTCCTTTTCCAGTGAAGAGACTTGCTCCTCAGCTGGCTTTTCAAAGCAGCCTGTCAGATAGGAAGGACTGGACGTCGGAGAATCACTCCACATGCTGAAACCGGAACCGGTCAGACCCAAAATTTACAAGGGTTAACAACCTGTGCAAAAACCAGTGCAATCATCTTCAACCAAAATTACACCAAACTTCACATACAATGAAAGTTTTACCAGGTTTTAACATTAGCCATATCGCAATAATTTGCGTGCGCACCCAATTTTCCCGCAAGCGAGTCAGAACTTGCTTGCTGGAAAATTGTTTCCTTGCTTCACAAGGGAACGAGGTTTTTCTTTCTTTTCTTCTTTCAATATTCACACTAAGTCTGTACTCGTTCATCCCTCGTGTCACACACACCTTTCAAGTGTCTTGTTCCTAACCCTAATCACGTACTGGCCCTTTTGATGTTCATTTATTATCTGTTTATTTAGTCACCAGCTTGCGAGGCCCTTGTCTCTATCACTGGACGCGCATGTCAGTCTTCAATGAATCTAACGAGTCGAGTCACCTTCTTGGAAAATTACCTCTAGTTGTATCGTCACCAGAGAATTGAATTGAAGAGGACCCTCTTTCACGCCTGAAACGACGCATCAAGATCATTTGACCGCCTTGTTTCTTCCCTCGTCGCTTTCTTTGCTCTTAATTCGTGAAAAATCCGCCCGTTGTGTCGCCATTTTCTCTACTTCGAATTCATTCACATTCACCCTGACTAAGATTTCTTCAGCACGGCTTAAGAGGAGTATTCTTCTTTCATTGCTGGTTTGCAACGGGTTCTTTGCTTCTAAATAGTTTGATTTTATTAACGATCATTCTCAACTCTTGTTTACAACAGCAATATTCTAATAATTTTGTAGTCATTTCAGTTATCAGAACGCCCTGTACGGCAAGTGCAGTAAATCATATAACGTCTAACTCCGGCGTAGTAGTTATCATATTATCAACGGCCCTCGGAGTGTACAACGGATAATTTGCTGTTCACCTCTTACGTCGAGTTACGCGAGTTCTTTTCTACTGTTATCTTTTGTTCCTACTGTTTGATTCTATGTAGAGTGCATCATCAGAAACCGTTATCAATGAAAGTTTAGTTATGAATGAACCGTGAGAAATAATATCTATAGAACGGATTGTTTCTTGGGTGCAAAGGCATCATGCATGCGAAGATGGTAGAAATAATCACTGATGTGCTAATTATATTCAAACATAAAGGCCTATGTCACATTAATAAGTATCATTTGCACCTGATTATGTATCGCCAATATAGAATTTAATCATCATCAGCCAACACATGTTCATAAGCCAACACATGTCAGTAGTCTGTGGTATACATAATTACTTGATAATTCAGCATTGATTTAATCTAATCGCAATCAGAACTTATGACTAATTCTTTTTTTTAATTCATTCAAATTTATTGTATTTCCTACGTCGGAATACCTGAGCGCTCGGATTCATTTGCAGCTAGTTTCCCCAGCTGCTGCTAAGTGATCGTCTCTTTATCGGGTTTATTTCAGCCAGTATCAGACTCCTGACCCATCGAAATGCATTCGAATCAACTGGACACAATTTTTAGACATGACTAGTGTGCTTGCTCATCATAATGCTATTGCAAGGAATTCTAGCTGCGTAATTTTCTGGTCCAGACGTTACGTCTCTTGCATTGGACTCCTGCTGTTTGTTTACGTAGAACTTCGTATCTTGGCAAGAAACGCAGAAGCATCTTCTTCTGCTTGACGCTCGCAGTGGCACGTTAGAACTATTCAAGTTACAATGTGTTCCGCGTTCAGTACGATATGCTGCCGAAAGATGCAATCGGGATGCACAGGTTGTGTTCAGAGTCAAGTTCTGTGTGTAATGAACCGTGTTGATTGAGGTATCTTGTTTCAGTTGTGCGTCTTGCTCTGCATTAAAATTAAGCGGCAAAGAAGACGTAAATGATTCTAAATCGCCCATGTTTAACTAATCTGATTTTTGATAGATTATTGACTTTGATTGTTATGTTAAGTATATATCGTTGTTATAAGGACTGCGATACGGGTCTAAATTAAAAATAAAGTCAGCTCTGTCTGAAATTGACTTGTCATGTGGGGGCAGATATCAGGGCTATTTCTCTATCACTTTTATTGTTTAAAATTTTACTACGTGGAAGTTTACCAAAAAAAAAGAAATAATTTTCAGACGAGAAGTATTTTCATATAGTTTCTTCTGGTAATAAATTGGTGAACTTCCCGTAGAAATGAGTTCAACTTCTGGATGTAGAGGATTTGACTAGTTCTTGTATGATTACTTCAAGTCTGTAGCGCTCTGAAAATTTTCTTTATTAATTATTTACTTGTGAAATGCAGCTTCACAAAAAACTTTCGTAGAAATCGTAGACGTAAGGTCAGTTTTTTCTCTCTCTGCTCAATGCAATTCGGACTCTATTCAATCCGCGGAAGCGCTCACATACGTCTTGATTTTGAGTCTTCTCTTGGATCTTGTATAAAAGTGAATAACTTGATTATAGATTTTTGTTTTCCAATAGCTTCTGCCTTTCGCTAAATTTTGAGTTACCAGCAGCATTGTGACTCTCTACCTGCTGCCCTAACCTTCTGGCTATAGTCTGTACAAATAACATTAGCAGAATCAACTCAAATTACATGTAACTTGATATGAAGTAGAATTTCACTTTTGACTCAAAGTCAAAATGATTTGATCATTTTTCAAAAAGCATTTAGTCGTTTTGTTCTGTCTAGTAGAGCAATTAGAAAACTTGTACCAACTATGGCACGGTTAAAATGAGGCTGGTTCAAGCGAAGTATATTCGCAAATGGCTGCAAAGCAAGGAACTTGTAAGTATTCTTTCTAGCTGCACGCTCGTCGGCTGTACGCTATTATGTATCATATATATGGTCGTGAGGTTGCTGTGGTGTTGCTTTAGGATCTGTTATTGCTGGTCAGCACTTGATTATTTTAATGGGGTTTCGTAACACTGAAATCTCGTCCAACTGAAAAGTTACTCCTTGGATGATAAACCGATTATTATTTGATTTGTTCTTATGTGATTTATTGAAATTGTAATTGTAAGTAAATTGAGAAGGAACCAGGAATCGGATGAGTAAGCAACGATTTGCCTATCGCAATGCGTATTTTAAATAGTCACGGCGCTAATGTTAACTGTTGCTGTCACGCTCTGCCGGGTGAAACTCACATTTTCAATCCTGTAACTAATTTTTTCAGGTTGATTTATTTGTACATTTCTTTCGTTATTGTCGTTTTTAATTTGATTGTATCATAGTTAATAACAATTTGATACGTTGATTTTTAGTGGTATTGGCGTGGGTGAAGTAATTATTTCATTCACCTGCCTAGTATACGTTTTAGTTTGGCGTGGTGGTGTGTCGTGTGGCACTTGGTGTACATTGCACTGTAAATCATTTCTGTGTTCCAAGTGCTCCGCATCCTGTTGAAATCCTTCAGATTAGATTTCCTCGCATGTCAATAGATTTTATTGATTCTATGCCCAAAGCTCTCAGTTTGTAACAGTTTAATTCATAAATATCTTCTTTGTTTATTTTAAACATTTTGGAAAGTAGTGCAATGCGTCAGTGGCTCATGACATTTTGATATATCGCTGACAGGTAGACGTTCGAAGTCCGAAGTCTTGAAGATAGAGACAGTTATGCTCCATGATGTCGGTGTCTAGTCAAAACTTCACATTGGTGCTGCCATGCTCTTAAAGATCACTAAACGAGCCGGGATCTAAAAGATAACTCCTTTGTTCCTACCGACTCTCGCCGCGACACGAGCTTCTCTCATGTCGCTTGCTGTGTCCAACTGTATAGCTTACTTGTCCAGGGGAACCGCATAAACGTAGCAGGTTTGCTGATATCTTGCCTGTATGAGTAGCTCAGTTTGGGATAGCGCAAATAATTTTTATTTTATCCGACTTCTTGTTTAATTGGTACACTTTCAATCGACTTATTGTCGAGGCATTTTTTATCCTTTGATATCGCTCTACCGGCACTGGAAATGCATTTGCCCTCTTGACGACTCTCAGAAATACTAACCTGGTTTCGACGAACTGTTTGTGACGGCTTGCTAGCTGCGTCTGGAGTGCCGGTTGCTAGAGATCTAAATATAAGATGAGAAACTGTTCCCTGCAGGCTGGTGGTAATCACCTCTATGATTATTGGCTCTGCATGCTGGACGAGAATGCCGGCAGAATGATCACGGTCTTTGTATTCAGATACTGCAGTACAGTTTGATCACTGGCTGATACGAAAGTTGTTGCAGCCTCACTCGTGTTGTGGTAAACTCGATCCTTGTCAGACCTTGCTTCTGTGTTAGTGTTTAGGTTACTTAGGTCGAATAAGACGTGTCTTTCGTAGCGCCAGGAATTTAGGAGCCTATCATTTGATGATAGCGACGCAATCCTTTCTTGTAAGCTCCTCTTGTGTAAACACTTGGGCGTAGTTATGATCAGACTTGTTCTTCTACGTTACAAACCATCTATAAGATAGATTATTTGTTATGCATTGCTTTCGTAGGAATACCTTTTTCAGACCACGAATTTACACGTAGAACATCATTGCTTTTAAGAGTTATGTGTATGTTCGTTTGGGCTCAATACAATTTGGCATTAATATTTGAAGTGTTTGTGCTCCATTTTATTGTGACATAACCAAATTAACGCTGTGAAAACATTTCCAAATGCGGTTCGTAGGCATGACCTGTTAATGAGACATGTTAATATTATATATATACCTGTATATATAACTAACTATACCAAGCTGGCCATACTGCGGAGAGGAGTGTTTCAAGACATGCGCTGGTTTGTGATGCACTTTTTTCCTCACGGTTAACAATAATTATCTGCAAGACTCACGAGGTCCATGTCCCTCTAATGTGGGCCTTCTCTCGCTTGTGTGTCATGTACATACCTGCAATAAACTAATGCAATCGAGTAGGCAAATTCATTTGAAAAGGATAATTGAATTATTAGTGATAATATTATAATCATTAATGTAATAGCCATCATAAATTGCATGGGCACAGTGACTCTTAAGCTAGGCCTGGCATGAATTGGGTCGCTGTTGGTCAACAATTTTATGTATCAATACGGTTTGTGTTTCGTTCTCACTCATCTTAGTAATTTACTGAACACTCGAGTGGGTGCGCATGTTGAACAGATTTAAATTGTGTATTACTTTGATAGATGTCGCTGAGCTATAATCTACGCTTCTGTCTAGAACTCTCATTAACGAGGAGTTTCCTCAAGCTTGCCATCTCATGCAAGGACGGAAGTTTGAGGCCCACTTGTTCGTTAGGCGTCGAGTGGGAGTGCAATAAGATTTGTCTTTGTATAATCATCCTTATGTTGAAATGCCTCCTAGTCTGTGCTTCTTTTTTGCGTCTTTTATGTTCGGTGTACATATATATTTTTTCCGAAGACGTTGTGGTAGCCAAGTTTTCGTGCAATGTAACCAGATAAAATTTGTGGCTGAGGGCCTTTGTTGACGTCTATTCACATGGCCGTGGCTAGCCTCACTAATATCGAGAAAAGAAGTTCATGTGCTCGCTTGACATCACTTGGCTTGATTCATTAGTGCCACTAATGTTGGCCAGAGCTCGTGCGTCAACTTCTGAGTTCTGTGGATAAACGTCTTGACCTTAGTGGTGGTAAGGGGCACTTTTCTAATAAAATACCTGACTGAAATGCACTTTCTTGTTCGTCTGAATTCATACCTGCGTCCCTACGAATTACTTTTGTTATTGTCCTTCAGTGAACAGAGAACAGTAATTCGTCTGGAAAGATGCTCGTCAGCGCTACTAATCATTATAGTAAATCTAACCATCGAAGATACAATTAAGAAGGCCGAGACAATTTTTCTTACTCCATTTATATTTCAATGGACTTGAGGCTGACTTGTAACAGAGACATTAGGACGAGGTGGAAAAGCAGTTTCTTTACAAATATCTTTATTGGTCACCATCACAATTTATTAACGTGATAATTATTATGGTGATTTACATGCTCCAGATCCACGACTGTTTATAATAATACTGTAGTACAGATTATTACCTGATAAACCTGTAAAAACTAGTAATTATTAACAGCGGCTTGCTTCGATGTTAAAAAATGATCCTGAAAGTCAATTTAAACCAATTGCACAAACTAAAACATTTGTACAGCGGAAATACGAACTACAACTTAAGTCATAATAATGCACAAATCACGGCTATAGCTTAGCTACAGCTAGACTTCATTCTTCCTAGAATATATCCAGTCATTTACAACGCAGTGCCAGCTCTATTTTTTCAAGTATTTGGTGAGCACACGATAGTAATTAGGACACAAAAAAAGAAAATTATGTGAGTTTGTTTACATTAGTTTTTTCTTAAATCAAGGTTACAAAGATGAACATTTCTGTTAAATAATTAGAAAGGCTCCCTGAACTAACAGAAAACCTTTGCATCGCCCTTGGCCACAGAGATACCGGTATGCTAATTTCATGATTGAAAATGAGCAAAATGTGAGTCAATCGACGGATGTCATTCGTGCAAACAAGAAATGATTGTAAATAAGTGTACAGCAAAACATTCGTCAGTCGGATATTGCGGAGAGTTCGCACATCATAACTCGGCCCATGTATTCTAATACGGAGAATGTTCCATTGGAATATTCATCCTAATAATTTTGATTGCAAGATATCATCTCAGAGTCAGCACAAAACACGTCCGCATCATGCATTGCGTACGTAGATAAACAAGTTAATAGATTATGGGTTTTGTTAACCCTTCTCCTTTTGGTAGATGGGTTACGCAGAATTCGTCTTGCGTACAATGGCAGGTGGAGGAAATAGGACCCAAGCCTTCATAATGTTGAAACAAGTACTGGACTAATTCGCCTAATGAATGCTGTGCAAATCTCTCTAGCATCAAAAACGCAATAATAACAAAGAGACGAAAAGCTTAGGTAATGCCCAAATGGAGGCTATTGAAACATACTATTGGTGATTAGAAATCAAACTAGAAGGCAGGAAAGCATGAGCTTCAAACGTCATGAAAATCTAAAGGTACGGAAGTATCATTTCAACAAGTGACAACAAAAAGCATGGAATGTGGCAATAGAACTTACGAGTATCAAGTTAACAATTCGTTATTGCGCAGTCATAAAGGCAACCGCGAGGCGGTCAATGAAGTCATTATCAAGTAAACCAGCAAGTCAGTTTAAATTAAAACAAGCGATCACAAGGAGCGTCATTGATTAGATTACAATAAGTGTGATCGACTCTAGATGAATATTTTCGGCACAATAAAGACGCTTAAGTTCATTTATAGGACAGAACACAAATACAATTCATATACTCATTTACTTTTTCCAAACTTCCGATTCTTAGAGATATTCTGCTATGAGGCGAAACGTGAATGAGCTGAGAACAAATTCACGGACCAAACTATAAACTGTTTTGAATCTGAAATTGAACGGATTACTTATTACAAAGAAATTTAATACGTCGTAAATTTTACGAAGGTCAGTCTTAAAATTTCACTTCAGTTATTCTTCGATATAGTGAAGATTTACGTGGGAATTAAGAACGAAAGCGTTAAGGATGAATAGAGGATTATTTACGCAGTATGTTTTTTGCTGCTAAATGGATGACTGCGCGGAGCATTAGATGAAAACTCGGCGACGGAATAAGAGGGCGAGGAGAGAAAAACTTTTATGTCTAGACTACTTACTGACGAAACTCCTAAATAAGAACTGAAATTGAAATGTTCTTTCGGCGCACATTCCTCAAGTAAGCAGTTATACGCTGGCAGATACAGACTGAGATTCGACTCCATGAACAATATAGTGAACTACTATGAGTTCGTGTGGAAACACCATAAGTAATGATGCACTATAATAATACCACAAGCTACGTTCACTATTCGTTATATAAGAGGGCCGGCACCAGTGATAAATTATTCATAGCACTAACACAGATAATTATCGCTCCGTTCCGATAGTTGAGGTACAAGTGATTAAAGTTAGAGAGACAATAGCACACACTTCACTTCAGCACTGAGGTACGAGCGAATTATTAGAAGCTCCTTAAAGGAGGCATGAGCCCTACACTACAACTGTCACCAAGACATGAGCCAAGAATATTTTCCAGTTAAAGTCCAGAAAGATTCTTTGAGATCAGGCATTTGTATGTAGAGGAACACGCACACGAAGAGCACGAGGATAGTAGTGATGAGACGACCTCTGGTTTGTAGCAGCGGTGCTACGATGTTCATTGCTGTCGCCACCATCAGAAGAAGAACCTGCAACACAATACACATAAAGCAAATGCACAACAAAATTTTATAATCGGTCATGTAATGAGCATTTTCGGACTTGGTGTTCAACGTCATTTCATTAAAGTTAAACATTCATTTAGTTATTTAAAAAAAATTCGACATTGCGATGAGTCAAGGCAGCGATACATGTGAAACACACCGAGACCAAACCGAAAAGTTTTATTAAAAGCTGTGCTGAAGTCATAACTTATATAATGTCTGAATGAAATGTTACAATAGAAAAACATTGAATGGTTAGATAGGAATAGGACCTGGAGAATTGTGAGTAGAATATTGATGAGCTTGACAAAGAGAGCTCTGGCGTTGCTGTTCTCCAGGCCTTCCAGCGTGAGGAACTGTTGCTGCTGCTGCGCCTGCTGGTGCTCCATCCGAGATATCTATAAAAAATAATATCTTCAGCTATTAGAATATTTTACCTTCAATTTATTGCAAAGTTTTTTCAACTTTTTGCTGGCTATGTAAATAAATTATCAGATAGTAGAATTTATTTGGAATTTTTGAGGAAATTCCCGAACAATAAGTAGTACTCATCCACAACCACAGTTCTTGGAATTATAGGCATGACTAGATAATGGTGTCAGAGATGGCAAAAAATGCAAACTTTTGTACAGAAACAAGCACAACCGAGACACAGAATTTTATTTCCCAATGCATTTTTTATTCGTTGAGCGGCACATTTCGCGGCCTTGTAAACGTATTGGGGTCATGTGAACCCTGGAAGCGAAGTGACAATTGAGAAGCAACGTAGGAAGGCAACCCTGACGGACACGAAGCAACCCTGACGGACACGAAGCAACCCTGACGGACACGAAGCAACCCTGACGGACACGAAGCAACCCTGACGGACACGAAGCAACCCTGAGGGACACGAAGCAACCCTGAGGGACACGAAGCAACCCTGAGGGACACGTAGCAACCCTGAGGGACACGTAGCAACCCTGAGGGACACGAAGCAACCCTGGCGGGACACGAAGCAACCCTGACGGACACGAAGCAACCCTGACGGACACGAAGCAACCCTGACACCCTGACGGGACACTAATCAACATTTAAGCAACATAGCACCACCAAAAAGCCCACCCTGGTATGGTAGTTCTCCAGCATCTCCTGCAGATCTCTGACGCGTTCTTCACTTTGGTACTGGACTTTCTCCTCCATGTCCGTCATCGTTGTCTTCAGGTTCTCCATCTCGTTTTGGTGCAGTTCAGTGAGGTCGTTTACCTGCGCAACGTTGCAATGATTATCACTACTCCGGAACTTAACACGTTGACTACGTTGAACAGGGTTGCCAGACGGTCATTTTTTCCGGACAAATTCCGTGATTTAGTTTTTCTCAATTGCGTTGGCCGGCTAAAATTTATGATAGGGGTAATTCCTAATTAAATTTTAAATACTGCAAAAAGAAAATAAATGGAATTTTTAGAGTGGAACCTACAAATAAACTAGTATATTTTGAGTTATCGGCCTTTTTGGCCTTTTTTGTTCTCGGATTTGGCTAATTTTAGGCAACCTGAATTATGTACCACTACGTCCTGGAGAAATACATTTCGTGGTACGCATATGTACCACTTCGAAGTCAACGTGTTAAGATGTACTTATGCAGAAATTGCAAATTTTTCATAATTAAAACTCCAGGGACCCAAGTTCAGAGCTCAAACTGGTCACTGCTCATACTCTATTCTATAACAATAAGATCTCACGTCTAACAACACAACAAACGTCATGTGCGCACCTGTTGCTCCAGCTGCTCGACGCGCGTTCGCTCCTCGTTGAGTCTCTCGTGCAGAGCGCTCGTTTCCACCAGGAAGGCGCTCTGTATACGCGGTAAAATATTCACGGATAACATGTATTAATTCAATAGCATCAAGAATGCAAGACACGTATATCACTTTTCTATAAAACACTAGTAATAATGTAGGTGCCCATCAACAATGCATCTTTTCAAACTTTCATTTCTCTGCTCTTACAATAGTACAACAATCGATAATACAAACCACGACTGAAATAACGTATGATATCTTCTTCATTATTCCCACTAAATAAAGTTAAAAATAAATAAAGAAGTTCGTCTCACTCACCTTGATGGTGTCAATCTCCTCGCGCAGTCGCTCCATTTCGCTCCTGGTCTCGTGGGTGGCGGACAAGATGTGCTCCATGGCGAGGTAGCCGCCCAGGTCAACTCCGCTGCCGTCCTGCACGCAAAAATTCTTCTCTCAATATTAAAAAAATTCAGGTAACGCATCACTCTACAAACATCGATATAAATTTCGGCGACTGTGCCTTATTAGGAACAATAAAATTTATCGGGCTATTAAAAACTGCAAGAGGTTTTGCATGCTACCGTAAAGTGCATTAAAAAACGTAAGTAGACATTTTCTAATTTAAATGAGAAGGTCCCCCCACTAAGGGAAAAAATAAAGAAACCTAGAGGTAATAGTAAACATAGAAACATAATTTTCTTTTGTACCTGATTAGTAACTGCTCGCGGCGATGCAAGGTGCTGGTGGTGATGCAGGTGGTGGGTGTGGTGAGCAAGACCCGGGATGCTCTCACTAGTCAACGATGAGTTACACTCTGAGTCTTCTTCTGAAGGTACACCACCGCCACTACCGCCACCTCCACCACTGCTGCCGCCGCCCCCACCGCCGCCCGAGTGGTGACCGCCGCCGCCGCTGCTGCTGCACGCACCAGAGGTGGTGGTGAGAGGAGTTAGGTGGTAGTGTCAGGTGGTAGTGACAGGTGGTAATGGTCTCAACTAGTGGTAGCACAGTTAACGGAGCGTGATGATGTTGTCACGAGATGACAGGCAGTCATTAGGGTGACAATGTCACACTTAACCAATGCTAATTAAATCAACTTATAGTCCATTTAGGATGGAAATATCAAAAGTCGGAAGATACAAGTAAATGTTATACAAATGAAGACTTGCTGCACAAGCAACAATAGAACTATTTCAAGTGAGAAGATCAAGGAAAGTAAACACTTGCGGCAATTTAAACGTTGACTTTAATAGCAAATAGTTTGAGGTAAACAAGCAAGGCAATTTGAAAAACTGTACTTCATTAATATGATAGTAAATTCCTTACGACGTTGCTCTAGATGTTAAGCTCGGGAGATAGAAGATGAGAGAAATACGCCACAGTAAAGAGAGTAGCTTACAGTTCGGGTCAGGATTATACCATAAATGAGAGCAATAACTTGCACACAAAAAGCTTCACGTGAGAAAAGCAAGCACGAACCTATTGATATTAATAGGAAGGATTTGAGACGCAGTTGCGGACTGCTGGAGTATGCAGTTAGTGGCAACTGCCGCAGTGGCAGACGCAACAGTGTTGGGTGAGATGGAGCTCAGGGACACCCCTGGCGGGAGGGTGGCCGAGCCGTGATGGGTTTTCTCTTCGTCACGATCCTCATCACTGAGAATCTCTTTGATGTTGTCCACGGAGCCGAATTTGTTCTTTAAAAGATGTGCAAACTCGCGCGGCTTGCTGATTAGACCCGACCTAAGGAGTGCATCAAGAGACACACTTGACATGGCTCGACACTTCAAGCTGGATTTCAGGAGTATTGAAACTCGTCGTTGAATCTATTACACGACAAACAATTTTTGCTGAATTCATCGCTACTAGAGTGATCATATTTCTTAAAACTGAATTTATTCAAATTGGCCAAAATTACTACGGTATTTATCATAGAAGAGTAAATGATCGTAGTAGTCTCAAGTTGATTAAGGGATATCGCACCGCCCATCGTGAACAACAAGTCTAGGTAACGTTCTATAAATGCTCCCACTTCAGAGTCATTAGTTAGATAAACGTGTTGGGTAGGCAGCAATCTGGCAAGGGGAGTTATCTGAACATGTGAACTGAAACTCTAAAAAATATGCTTGTCCAATTTGGTCCTGAGTTGACTAGGTTCAGAATGATGCTAACATAGAGGCTTATTAGTGCAGCGAACGATTAAGTTAGTGAACATAGATGAATTCAATTAGAAGATAAGGCATAGAAGATACAAAGCTTTGGCACGAAATATAAGATCTATTCGAGGAAAAAAGGGGAGTATAGTGTATTTATGTAAAAAATTATGGTAAGCACTAAATATAGCGATAATTTGTGACACAAAGAGAGTAATTGGCATGAATTTGCAAGCACATTATAAAGGCCTACGCGGCTTGAAGGCATTTCGAAGGCAAAAATTGAAGGAAGCCGTCCGGAATGTGCCGTCCGAATACATGAGCAAAGCATCGAAGATATCCTATCAGCTGAAGGCAGTTCTGTCTCATAACAAAATGAGACGACCTACGCAAGATCAAAGGTTAGCCATACTTGAATGATATATGAAAATGAACTGAGTGTTTTATTACGGAATTAAGATGACGTCTAAAGTTATCACCGCAACTGCGGTCTCTTTTGGAACGGCCATTTTCAATGGAGGTACCGTACAGTACCGTAGGTACAGTTTATGAAAATCGTGTGAAGTCTCACCACGAGGATATCAAAATTTTGACGGCCGGTAAAGTTAGTTAAGGCTATCTCATTAACGAATTTTCAGTCAACTTAATGAGAAAAGCGAACTGCCAGCTACTTGTACACTCTAGTTATTTCATACCTAGCCAGAAAACCTGAAAGTACTTATGAACAAGTGAGGGTACAAGAAAAATTTCCCACATTTCTTTCAATAATGGCTACCTACATTTGAGCTCTAGTTGACATGCCTACCTAACCAGTTTTCAGCTGACGCATCACCCTTCGCGAATTCTATTTGCACCTAACGGCATCGTAACTCTTCAATAGAAAGAAGAATAAGGTTCTCTTCAAAAGAAAGAAGAATAAGCTTTTCTTAAATAGAAAGATGAATAAGGTTCAATAGACTAGATGAATAATGACTCACTTCAAGCCTTGTCCCATATCGCGTAAGACTTCCTTGGGCTGTCTGTGTTGCGTGGCAAGGCCGTGAGTTTGCAAGTCCAACAGCCTCTTCTGGTAGGTATCAAGTTTCTTCTGCAGATGCTGGATGCTTGTCGCGCTCTTCTGGTTCTTCTTCTCGAACACCGCCTTGATGCGCGAGATTTGCAGCTTGTCCGCTGATGCCGCGCATTTCAGGTACTCGTTCACGTTGTCTGTTAGTGTGAAAATAAACGATGAAGGTTGCTAATAACAAGGAGTGATACGTCTCACGGCGGTGTTAAATTTGCCGATCAGTACTAGATGGCATAAAATTTTCTAATAACTCATTGAAATGTATGAATTGATATGAAACTTATGCAAAATATGAAACTTATGCAATTCGTGCAAAATATTTTAAGTTCAGAGCTACTAAGGTTGCAATTGAAGAATATATGTGCAATTGAAGAATAATGTATGGATCTGCTTTTTCCGCTTATTTAATACAGATATTGAAAAATGTTGATACGTAGAAACCATTCTCACACTAATGTCACAAGATTTAGAAACAAAACTATCTCTCAAAATTATGACATGTATTACTCGTACATATGTTAAAAACCACTCGAGACCCCAATCAATAGGTATTAATATACGTTGAACCAAATATAAAAAAGAGAAAAACTTTAGCTTAATAACTGTAACAAATAATAACGGAGTGCAATAACATAACCTACAGCCACCCGCAAAACAGCCATGGTTCAGGTGGTTGTTCCCTCGGATACGGCTATAACAAGCTGGTGCGTGCGAAACTTTAAGAACCTCAAAACATCAATCGATTTGTATCATATTCTGATTATTAATGGAACGCTTGTGTGAAATGGAACCCCCAAATCACATTTTTTGTAAATTTTCAGTGCCGTGTTGGTCGCTCCGAGAAATAGGTACTACTAGATTGAAAAATCATTTGATAAAGATTTGCTTTAGTGTGTGTTCACATCAAAAAAATTAATACGGAAAGCGAATTGAAAAAATAATTTTTCACTTAACTCTGAAGAATAACGAAGATCACCGAACATCAAGAGTCGTTAGGTTGTTACAAGTACCTACCAATTGATTATAAATTCAGGATAATCATAATCGGTGCAAGCGTCTACTGAGAAATATGAAACAATTTTAGCATAAGTAAAATATTAGAAAAATTTATTTACACCTCTTTCACAAAGAAGCCAGGATTCGTACCGTTTTTACACGTAATTCTTCACGTGAAATTTAGTCAGAGTGAGAGTTTCGGCACATATCAAATTTCCTCAACTTAAGAGTTAAGGAGGGGGTCTCAAAATCGAACATATTCAGAGGCAAAGAAGGTCATATTATTGAAGAGACCTGCGTCGGCAGAAGTCGCTGAGTCGGCAGTTAATAGACAGCAAAAACAAGAACTAACGTAGTGAGTCATAAATGTTGATGATGCGTCAGTTCCAGCAGGCTGGGTGATAGTGATCTTGATGAGGCTTGTCTAGAGTGTTTTCACTGGTCGTACTTGAGAGTTAATAGTATTAGTAATATACTAACCGAAAACTTGTATAATTCTCTGCGACATTAGCTAATAACAAACGAGAAACTATTTCTCTCGTGTCATAACTCTCATTGTAAACTGATATGTATTTACCACAAAGGGTAACATGTCCTTAGGTAAAATAAGAGGAGAAGCGAAAATGAAGAAATCGTATGGCATTAAAATTGTCATCGGCTGACATACTTTTTACCTTGTAATTGTGTTGGGAGGAGGCGTAATTTACCAGCGGTGAGAGTGCGTGTTACCAACGCCAGCGGTGAGAGTGCGTGTTACTAACACCAGCGGTGAGAGTGCGTGTTAACACCAGCGGTGAGAGTGCGTGTTACTAACACCAGCGGTGAGAGTGCGTGTTAACACCAGCGGTGAGAGTGCGCGTTACCAACACCAGCGGTGAGAGTGCGTGTTACTAACACCAGCGGTGAGAGTGCGTGTTAACACCAGCGGTGAGAGTGCGTGTTACTGACACCAGCGGGGAGAGTGCATGTTAACACCAGCGGTGAGAGTGCGTGTTAACACCAGCGGTGAGAGTGCGTGTTACAGCATCAGAATGTAAACAAGCTTCTCACCGTCTCTGGCCTTCTGCTCCTGCTTGATGAGGTCTCTGGTCTTGAGCATCTTGGCCTGCAGAGCCTCTGACAATTCCTTCATCCTGTCAGCAAGATGCTGCTGGCCAGGACGGCTGCTGTCAGCCTCGTCAGCGGTGTCGGTGCTGCCGCCGCGCAGTATGTCAGCGCCATCACCTGACCCGTTGCTGATGGCTGACGACATCCCTCCTCCATCCTGACACAAGTCGGACATTAATAAATTGTGTTAAAATATTCATTAGCGAGAGATTGATAATCGGCAAGATCGATTTTTACGAGAATAAGCTTACCAGTCACTGATGTGTCCAACTAATTAACAGCTAGCGTGCCGAGACAAGCGTGCAGTGATGGGTACCGTAAAATGGGGTTACTTTGACCGGCGGGGTAACTTTGACCACTTTTCGTTTTTTTAACAAAAACCCCCAAAACTCAAAAACGATTTGACATAGAAAAATTTTGTCAATGGCCATCAAAGGCCTAATACTGAGGCTAAAAAGTTTGCATATCTAATAGGTTAAAAAATTAAAAATGTGACCCACGAAAAAGAGCTATTATTTAAAGCCTGTCGGAGTACCCCCTCCAATTTTTTCATTTTTTGGTAAAATAACTCCAGGTTTTGATGCATTGTAGTAGAACTCTTCTAGTTACATATGCAAAAGACAAATTTTAGAAAAGTGTCATAGTTTGCAAATGGTGGGCGCCGCCCCCCAATGGGGTAACTTTGACCACCTAATGGCAGCAGTGACGGGGTAACATTGACCGGCTTGGAAATTAAGTTAAAACTACCATAGGTACCTATATAACATATTTTATATGTTTGATACACATATTAATGTTTTTTTCTTTATGTTTCATACTCTACAGAGTCTTACATAAGGTAATTTTAACTTAATTTCCAAACCGGTCAATGTTACCCCATCACGGCTGCCATTAGATGGGCACATTTCGCCCATTTGGGGGCGGCGCCCCTCATTTGCAAACTATGACACTTTTCTAAAATTTCTCTTTTGCATATGTAACTAGAAGAGTTCTACTACAATGCACCACAACCTGGAGTTATTTGGAGTTATTTTACCAAGAAATAAAATTGATTTTACCACCCGGTCAAAGAAACCGCATGAGCTGGGGTAACAAAGACCATCACTTTTTTTGAAATTACATCAAAACTATGAGAGGTAGGAGCCAGCAATTTATGGTGAGTAAAGCTAGAGTATAGACCTGTATTTTGCATGTTTCAATTTAAGTTTAACTTATCTAGTAAAAAAATGGCATCACTTTGAAAAAAAGTGGTCAAAGTTACCCCATTTTACGGTAACAGTTTACTCACCAAGTCACCGTCCTCATTGGAGGAGTGGATGTCATCAGTGAAGGGGGAAGACACAGAGGTGCCAGACAAGGGGACGGAGGTGTGGGCTCTAGCACGCCCCTGAAGTGGAGTGGTGCCGCTGCTACTACTGCTGGTGGGGGGAGTGTTGGTGCCGCCCTCCGTCCCCACTCCCCGTCGTCCCGTCATGGGAGACCTGCGTCTGCTGGAGCTCTGGTGAAGGTCCTCATGGTTCTTCTTCCTGTTGAAATAATGAGCGTTAATTGACACACATCGAACGGATCGTTTACTTGGGTGTTGTTCTTCTCATGGTGCTCTTCTTGTTGAAATAACGAGCGTTAATTGGCACACATCGGGTACACTGCTAGAAAAATGACCGTTAAGAGTCTTACCGGCGTTTCAGTGGCCGGTCGGCACGTGAAAAGAAACACCGTGTCGCCGTTTTTATTTTAATTTAACACTAGAAACCCGTATAACATTTGATATAAACGGTGAAACAGTTTATTTTCATGGGGCGACCGGCCACTAGAACGCCGGTGGGACCGTTTTTTCTAACAGTATGTTGGTGTTAACTCAGCCGGCAGAACTTCGCTTAATGCCAAGAAATCGAACTAGGATGACACCATGGAATTTAATTGGTTTTCCGACACAAAAAATAATAATCATGACGAGAAAAAAAATTATGGTGTGCTCGCTAGTTCCTTGAAAAAAACCTGGAAGTACACGAAGACTTTTACCACACGACGGCCGCGTGATGTTTGTCAAAATCGTTGTCCGCTAAAGAGCAGCAGCTGCAGAGCAAATTGCTAACCCAACCATTGCCTTGGCAGGCATTCATTGCTGTATCAGAGTGATTATATCATGAGAATTTCACTCAGGCTGGCAGCGTGTGCCATGGCTCGGGTGACCGAATGTAGAGGCTCACTGCGCGCTTGAAGCTCACTTCGCTCATTTATACATTTGCAATGGCATTTACGAGCGCCACTTGTCAGGTTACTTGAGAATTTCCGCCGCTGCTTCACGCGACAATTTATGTGGGACCCACCTGAGTGTATAGCCGCCTTCAAGCCCCGAGTCCCCAGAGAGAGGGGAAGAGCCCGTCGAGGAGGAAGGCGACCCATAGTCATCGCTCACGAGGATTTCGGGTACCGAAGCGCGGGACGAAGAGCGGTTTCCGGGGAGATCGTGTAATGGATGAAGATGTGCGCAGTGGGGGTGAATTTGTGGGCAGTACGAGGTAGAGCTCGACCCCAGCACGGGGGTTACAGGTCTCAAAGACGAGGTGGGGGTAACAGCGTCTGAGGATGAAGTTGGGGAAACAGCGCGCCGCAAATCTTGCAACAGGGCACCCAGCAAAGGAGAGTTGGGACGAGAAATGGCAAGGGGAGTCACAGGACGTGAGATGGAGTTGACACCTGTGGAGGAGGAGCTGTTCGAGGTCCTTAGAGGCAGTCTCATGTCTACGAGGCTGTCTACAGCAGATGTGTTATGCAGTTTGTGATGCGGTCTGCCGTCAATCTGGTGCAAACAGCAGTCGCTGCTGGCACGTCTATGCGTGTGAAGATGTGTCTCCAGGAGCTGCGGATCATTTTGCATGTTACGTGTAGAATTGTTACTGCTCATATTCTCAGTAGAGTCTTGGTTAGGCGCGTTAGATAAGGAGTTCTGCTGGCGTTGACGGTGGTTGTTGTCACGCCTAGTTCCAGTGCTCCTCCAACTCCACCCCATGTCTATAACGCTGCTCATGTGTTCATCACGCAGGTCCTCTGGCGTTTCAAGTTTTCACACCAAATAAAATTCTTTGTCTAAATTATATATTAACTGTCGTAAATGTCAGGTCGTATCCAGTGACCTGGCAACGAGATTTTCTTGTCGGCAAACGGAGTATTACAACACCAGCCTAAGTTCTCGGAAAACAACGAACGTTTTCGTCTTGGTGCGTTCAAACCTGTTTCGAGCGGTAACACCTTCACGCCTCATGTAGCACAACACCAAAGCAGGACAACGCACAGGCACTAAATTTACACAAGCATCTGCCAAGCTTACGTCGTCTGAGTAACTAAGAATAATTCAGACACAACTCGAGAGCTGTGCGATGGAAGACTGGTATTGACGAAGGCTATTGTGTTTTTAGGTGCAAGAAATTCAAAAAGTGCGCAGTATTAAGCAAAAATATGGACCACTCTCCGTTCACTATATCGATGGTATAATCACAGATTGTTAACTGCAACATAAAAACGAAGAAATCATTACTATTTAAGTAATAATATTATCACAATCAATAAAATGCTTAGCGTAAATGCATCCAATCTGACGAGTCAGTCCACACTTCACTGCCAACATATATCGTTGCCAAATTGGAAATAACTGAGGCATCAGTAGCGGCCACTTATCGGCACTTAAAAAATTAATGTCAAGAATTGCCGGAATTGAAATGAAAAGCAAAATTTTATCGCGGCGAGGAGAGGGGTGGAAGATAAGAAGTTAATATTCAAAAATTGCGCCATCGAAATAGGTAATCGCCACTGGTTTGAAGCAGACCGCCCTAATTTCACACATTCGAAATAAATTAATTAATGTACATCCTCAAGCTCTTATTCGACGTTCAAGAATATATGAAGGACGCAGGAGAAAAAGAACTGGGAAAAGGCCCAACAAACTTCAATATCAGTATGAGATGAAGTATCATCAAACTTCAGTGTCACCCAACAAACTTCATCTGCGCCAGATGTTTGTGCTGAGGAGGCGCTTTTTGTGCATGTTAGACGAGGAAGTGAGGAGGGTCAACAAGACTATCATATAAGGACATACTAGATCGTCTTGCTCAGCGCTATATCGAGCTCCAGAGCTCGCGAATGAATCTTGCAGGCTAAATACACAAAAAATATTTTTTTTTGCCAAGGTTGATGCATTGAATGCATACACAGAACAACTCTCATGATCTGTCGTGGGCCGGATGCCCAAAGACCAAATTAGAGCCAAAACTACATCTGCCATCTACCAGTAAGGCAGAAACTGACCATAAAGCGCCTTACATTTTAACATGGTTTAAAGCGTGCTTCCTGTCTGCTGACAACGGTCGTCTGATGAAAGCAGCAGAGCTGACGTATCAAGAGAAGAGGGGTGGTGAACTGCACTGCTATCAGTGCTAAGCACCAGCGTATCAGGAAGAGAGAGATATTGCACTGCACTGCTAAAACTGCCGTATCAGGAGGTGAGTGACGATGCACTGCTATACACCAGCGTATCAGGAGGAGAGAGATGTTGCACTGCACTGCTACGCCAGCGTATCAGGAGGTGTGGGATGTTGCACTGCTATACACCAGCGTGTCATAAGAATGGGTGTGCAAAACATTTCTGCGCACCAGCGTATGAGGACGAGGAGGACGGCATCTTACATGGCTGTGCTCAATTTTTTTTACCTTAGCACATAAGCTCGCGTCCCTCAACGTCCGTCCCATAACCCTTGATCATTTGTCTCTGCCCTAGAGCTAACAGAAGACAACAACATATCGTGCATGTGCTTGTTCCACTCAGGGCAGATGCGCGTTAATTTTGTGTGCGTTAAACCACAAAGACACGGAGAACGCTGAACTTCGCTTTCCATGTATAAAGCAATTGTTAATTAGTGGAGTGACCGTAGACACACAATGGTTATCGAGGCGCAAAAAGTACCGAGTGGAGTCGCAGATTCGTGAGAACCGAGTCGTACAACCAACAAGAATCGTGGACTCGTGAAAAAAGAATAGTGAACTCATATGAATTAAGTAGCAGATTCAGCAAGCTGAGTAAGTCAGAGAGCACAGCTGCACTGATGAGTGATGTTGACTGCCATCCCTATTGAAGGTAAGAGCTTATCATCGCCGGCCGACTACTGCCAGCTTTGATTTCGAATCAGGCAATGAAGAGCAAAGTTATGCTGCCAGACCTTACAGCTGCCGGTGAGACGTCTTCTTGGAACTTGCAAAATTATAATATTTGCGGATGTTGACTTGGCCCGACAAGCTATATTTTGCTTCGACCCAGCCAGACATGATATTATCCGTTGACCAGGCACGGCAAGATGTTCGGTATTTTACATAATTCCGTAATATTATTCGTTGACCCGACACCAAACGCACCAAATGATGTTCCCCGCTGATTTTACCCGTAGACCTGGCAAGTCTAAAGATTTTCTGCTGCCCAGAATTAATGCTATCAGTCGGTGCGACAAAAAGTGGAAGATAAGCACCGATGTTCGTTCGCGAAAATGAACGCACAATTAATTCTTTATTAACATGAAAGAACGTTACGAACCATGCAAGCAAAATTGTGAACGTCGCAGATGCAGTTCTTACTCACCAATAATTCGCTGAGGCCGCTAAGTTCAAAGAATAAGCGCGCTTATCTTGAACTTAGAAGAGCTGATACATGCGTTAGTTTAAACCGGAATTATGACTCATGCTTTGTACTCCAGAGGCCGTACGATCATAAACAGTTGAGAGTCTGTAACTTCGTCAGCCAATCACTGAAGGCTTTTTAGGCTAAATCCACCAATAACAGACGAGAAATCGGCCGCTACGTTTACTTAGGAGTTTTCATAGAACGTCCCGCGAACTGTATGCATCACTAATGATACCTGTAAGTAACATCATCCGACATACATCGAATGATCAAGTTGTGATAAAATCGATGTTACTTATAATAATTTAGGAGACAAAATCTCAAGTTACATCATGAAGGTAGCCTGATTATTCAGAAACAGAAGTCAATTTCCTCGACGTCTTACGATCGCCGAAATAACTGCTGTAATCGGCGCCTGCACTGCCAGTGCACGTTACAAGGCCAACCGCTAGCACCAGCTCTGTTCGTGCGGCATTTCCTACTTTCCGTTATTAATTTCTTACGAACTTATTTGACATTGATTGTTTGACTGCAAGCCAAACCTATTCTTCCAATGACGGCTCAGTGAATTCAACTGCTATTGAATGTGATTCAAAAGCACGTCTAGCTGGCATCTCAAATTAATGATCGCTCCTAAAGCTATCATGCATGTACACCGTAATGTACAGTACTCTGACATAGAATAAACTACAAATCGCGAGTCATATATATGCACTTGTTCTGAACTCATCCAAACAATTGTAAGATTGTTATGGTTTTCATATTTTAAAGAAGACAAAACGTAATTAACATAGTAATGGCTACTTCGGAACTCAGTAAACAAAACAACCACCGTTTATATGAGTCGCTTAAAAACTTGAATATGAAAATTACATAAAGTATATAACAACCGCACATGGCGTGATTTTTAACAGTGTAATCGACCTGGATGAAACTCGATGAACCTGCCGTGGCGCGATATGTTACCGTACATGGTCGTACTGTGACATGATAGGAACCTGAGATACGCTGCGTGGTGGGAGGCGTGTACTGCACGCACACGTGTCGTGTACTGCACGCACACGTGTCGTGTACTGCACGCACGCGTGGTGTGTACTGCACGCACACGTGGCGTGTACTGCACGCACACGTGGCGTGTACTGCACGCACGCGTGGTGTGTACTCTGCACGCACACGTGGCGTGTACTGCACGCACACGTGGCGTGTACTGCACGCACACGTGGCGTGTGCTGCACGCACACGTGTTGCATGTGTGACCCAATAACGATGACACCGCTAACTGCGGAATGATCTTAAGAACCGCGAGAACCCGGTAAGTAGTGATAAATTTTGTGGTTAATTTTCCTCTACGTAAACTAATGGATTCAAATCAGAATAATTCATACGTAATCATTTATTACGAGCGCTCATGCAAGTGACATAAGTTCGCACTGTTGGCTTCAATAATAAATTAGTACGTACAAAATATATTTACACGATACATCATTTAAAGTAATTCTAGAATATTTCAAGATATATTTGATTGATGGATCATTAGCGTCTCGCGATATATTTGGGCTGAAAGTGTTGCTATCGCGTCTCGTTTGTCAAAAGTAAACATTAACAAGCGCTCAATATGATTACCACTCTAATGACTCACGCACAATAAAGCAAAATCGACCAAGAAAAGAAACATTAAGTAGATACGCATTCATGACGTCCGTATAGTACGTCCAAGCGTATATCGCTGACATGTACACGTGGTTAAGTCTTCTGTTACTATGAAAATTTAGAAACTTTATCATCATTGCACTAACACGACACCAAATCCTAATAGAAAAAAAAACACCGTTACATTCTAAGTTCGTCGTAGATTCCGAGTTCGTGAGAATGCTTTGTCTCGTAAGACACGCACATCCACTCACGAACACGGCACTGCCGACACTGGCAGTCTGGCACGCTTAGATGGCACTACAATGGAGTGACTAACTCAGATCCACTCCCCTGGGGTGGAGCCAACACCACATGATAGGTTATGAACTGTGCAGACAAGTGGAGAGTTTAGTACAATTACTGTGAGTCAGTACAGATCACTGTTGTCGAGCGTTGCAGGGAATCATGATTATGCAGTGGGTTTATGCAGAGGCAGATTACGTCTAGAATTAAGCTCAGCACACAGGCTTCCGCTGAGAAGGAATGAGACTAGACCTTTAATTATTCGACTCTCGTATAGGCTCTCGAGATAGCACAGAGCGGGAAGACCATGCGGTAAAGTGAGATAACGAAGCAGATAATGAAAGATAGTGCACGGCAGCCAACTTACAAGGACATTATTATTTCTATGGATTGATAATGACTCGTTACCAAACAACATAATTCGCGATTAGATAAATGAGGAACATAATTAGAGTTTGGTCTTAAATATTCTAGTATTTAATATTGACCTACGATGCGCAGTAGGCTTACAGTAGAACGCGATACATCGCCGCTGCTTATGATTGTAACTGAGGTGCTATATAGCAATAGGACTGCAGCCGTTAATTAACAAGCCTTGGGTTCGTCCGAAAATGAAAAGCAGTCTCGATGTAATAGCCATAACTAATAGTGAAACATCCAATCTTACATGCATCACAATTTTTTGCAGCTGATATTGAACCCATTAAAAATACACACGAAATATTCGGCAATAATTTTCTGTTAATTTTAATCCAAAATACTAAAAACAAAAAATAATAGGATTAACAAAACCCATCCTTGCTATTTAACCGCTAAAAAAAGAACTCTTGGCTTTCTGATGCTGTGTAAAAACTGATAACCGCCGAAAACTTCACCAGAGGAAGTAAATCCTGTTTTTCGGACACTCTAATAACCCAACCAATTAAG